ATAAGAAAAATGATGGCAAGTCTAGCATGGCAGGAAATTGTCTTTTTTGAAAATACTGTGTTTTGGATGGTAAAATTGGCACTAGACACTCCCTTGCAAAAAAAGAAAAGAAAATATCATTGTGGTCTGAGCTAAATGCATGTATGTAGAGATCAGTGTGCAGCTGTTGGCTTCTAGACCCAGAGGGTAGGCTGCACCTACTTGGCCTGTTTTGCCCCTAATACCATTGTGGCAGATCTGATAATCACTTCCCCAAATGTGTCTCTGGTTTGTGGGCTTCTAGGTGCTTTTCATGCACATCCTTATGCCCCTGAAGCTGAGGTAAGGAGAAGAAAGATTTGGAGAGGAACTTCATAAGGAGCATTGCAAAGGTTTTTTGTGGAATTGATGAAGTTTCAGAAAATGAATGAGTTTACTTCGGGTTTGGTCACTGAAGGGTGAATCAGCCTTTTATTTTGTATCTTACACATTTTTCACTGTTGAAAGCGATTTGCTCTTTAATATTTTAAAGTGACCTTTGAAATTTGAATCATTGTTTGTCTACAGGACTAGTAAAAAGATTTTATGTATTGTGTGTATGAAGAAAGCAGACCAGTTGGCACAAAGGAGTAGTAATATCACATTACTCCATTCCCGAGTATTCTTGCTGCATATTATTTCAGTTTAATCAGTTCCTCTGATCTACTGTTTGTTCTTCATTTGTTTTTCACCTGTTGATTCCCTCCTCCCCTCCTGTGACAAAGGCTTTTGCCATAGAGGATTATTTGATAGATTTGCGCTATGCAGCTGGTGTGGTGTTTGTATTTTTGTGCAATACTTCAGAGTGCCTGTTGGGCCAGGTTCCAGTTTACAAATTTTGGAGCTTGCTGATATGATCATGGATTCTGAGGAGTATTGTTACCACTTCTCACAGTCAAGCAATTAGACTGTGTTCCTGGAGTTTCTGTTGTCTTCAGTTGTCACCTTGGTTTTTGCCATGTTTATGTATGTGCATAGACATACTAGACTACAGAATTTTCAGGTCTGATTTGGCATTTGGAAGATTAGCTATTGCAAGTATGTGTATTACTAGGGGCTGTGCCCCTTCTTGATTCACGCACCAACCCCAACTACTCCCCCAACCCTTTGCCAACCCCACTCCTCTTAGACTTCAATAAACCCACCTATTCCCCTTACAGTGCTTCCCATCCTCCCTGCAGTGCACAGTTTGACCCATGTAAAAAAATTCCCCCTTTGCAAGTGTGTTCAATGTCACATGGGAAGTACTCGTAAACATGGGTTCCCAGAGACATGTGTAAAAAGAAACATTTCTGATTTGCTCAGTCATGTAACTGCATTGTATATTTATTTACTTTGGGCTCACAATAACGAGTATCGGGAATTTTAAATCAGGATATAACCATGATGTGGGGGACCTTTTAGGCTCTGCAGCCCAGATCTTTATCAAAATTAGCCTCGCAGGCCAAATCTGACAGGTGGGAGGGGCTTCTCAGCTCCTCCCAATCCCTCTTCTCTCCCTGCTGCTGGTATAAGCAAGCCTTCACTTGAAAAATGCTGATATTCTTCTCTTGCTTTCCTCAGGAGGAGAAGCAGGGTGGAGGTGGGGCAAAGCCCGCCCTGCCACTGGGCTAAGTGATAGCCCACATTTTTATATGCAGGTTTATTCTGTTGCTTACTCTGGAGAAGTATCAGGGGGGTTGGGGGAGAGATATGAACCACCCATTCCTCTCCTGCCCTGCTGCTGCTGGCATAAGTAACAGAATAAAGTCTGTTCCCTTCACATACACACACCTACCTGCCCCAGCACCCCTGCTGCTGGGATAGCAAAGTGGTTTGACAAACCATTTCTGCCTCCTTGAGCAAAGGACACTCAGCTGGTGGTGGTTGGGAGCATGCCTTGTTCTATTGCAAAAGAGCAATCGGAAGCCCAGCTCTAAATTGTTTCTTCAAGCCCTGCCTTTACTCACCCTACGCCTGATGTCATTAACCTTTCTCTCTTTCTCTCTTAACAAACAGAATGGTCTTTGCTGATGCTCTGTTGCATTGGTAGAACAAGGGTAACAACATTAAAACAGTAAACCAGCTGACTTTTCAGAAGTCTCCTACCCTTGTCATGCCAACAGTTTACAGCATTTGTTTTAATACCAGCAACTTTAGTATCCTTTGCCAGTTCATGTACATCAATCCAGTATTTAAGGATTTCTTGCAAAGGCAACAGGTTTCCCTGTACATATTGTTAAGTGTTGCTATCCTAATTTCCACAAATTTTGTCTTCTTTAAAAACAAACAAAGTAGAAACAAAACTCTATTTTTTCTCTCTTTTGATCATTCCTTCCATTTGAAACTGGTTGAATGTTAAAATTAGAGGGTATCTTTGTTTGTGATTGTATGTACCTTTATATCAGGAAATAGTGTCATAAGGGTGCTGTTCCCTCAGTGTAAATAGATAACACCCTTCAAATTATTCTGTTACAAGTCAATAATTTTAGAGATCTTACTAAACTACTAGGTAAGGATATAAAATCCTGACATAAATTAAACTTTGCTATCGGGAAGGTTTGCAGCTGTAAAATGAAGACATCATCCAGTCTTTGTTTTATTTTTTCCTAACCCTTTTAATATCTATACCTCAGATGCTGAAGAAATAGCAGATCATTTTGAATTCCTTTATTCACAATGGATGTAAGCCTGTGGTTATCTCAGGTTATCTATATAGAAGCATTAGGGGAGATTAGATGCATCTAACTGAAGAAATTATTACAGAGCATTTCAGCTAATGCAACTCTTAACCTCTCAAAATTTATGGCTCATAATGGTTGCCTTTTGGATATCAGTCCACATAAATGTTCTTCATGGAAATCAGTGCCTATTATTCTTGCAAGTTTGCAAAAACTTCACAAGATTGGTAATCCATTTCCCCAAAACTGTGTTATTAGTCTGGGGGAAAATTTGGCAAGTCAACAGCCACCATTCTGGTTGTCTCTAATCCCTGTTTTATACTGTAGGCTATGCTGTTTTGGAAGTTATGAGATATGCAGAATACACAATCTGGTAAATGGATCCATTCTTTTCTCTTTTGCAGGGCTTCGTACAAAAATTAGGAAAACCAGGCCCAAATATTTTCAGATTTTCTTTGTGCAGCATTTCTCTTCTTAAGAAAACAGTAATAGGCCACATTCTCATCTCCTTAACTGAAGTCGAGAAAGCAGTATTTCAGAGCTCTCATGCAACTAAAAGGGTGATCTATGAAATCTGTAACATTACTTCAGTGGCAATTTAGAAGGGCTAAAAAGTGGTATGAAGCAGATATGGGTGAAGTAATTGTGCTACAAAGTTGGCAAGGGTTGTAGGGAGAATAGTGGAGATTCCCCCACAATGGAATAATAGTATAAACAATTATGGGCATTGTATCTTTGGGCAAATTAACAAAACATATTCATGCAAGAAAGAAACCAAAAAGTGCTAGATGATTAAGACTCTTTTATGGGAAATTGGTGTCTGTACATCTTGCTTGTAAATAACAAGCAATTGATTAAATGTTTTCCTGAGAGACATAGGCCATTCTTTTCATTCAGCTTACATTGTAAATCACTTAAGCCCCATTATAATGATGTATTGGCAGAACAGTCCTTTACTTCATCTTTGCTAGCTGAGTTGGCAGTAGGGTGGGTTTGTGCATCCCAAGATCATCAGACCAAGCAAGCCCCTCAAGCCAACCAGTAATGTGAGGTGGTTAGTCAGGCAGCCTTCTCTAAAGGTGCATCAGGGTGCTGACATTAAAGTCAAATTCCTTCCCAGTCCTCCCCAAATGTAAAGTTGTCACAAAATTAACCACAAAATCCAGATCAGAACAGTACGGAACAAGCAAAAAAAGTAGCATCCCAAGGAGCATACAAGTGAAATCCTATGAACCTTTTTAATATAACAACAACAACAACAACAACAACAACAACAACAACAACAAATTTATTTATACCCCGTCCATCCAGTTGTGTTTCCCCAGCCACTCTGGGCTGCTCCCAACAGATTAAAAACAATATAAAACACCAAACATTAAAAACTTCCCCAAACAGGGTTGCCTAAAAGTCAGATAGTTGTTTATTTCCTTGACATCTGATGGGAGGGTGTTCCACAGGGCGGGCACCACCACCGAGAAGGCCCTCTGCCTGGGGGGTGGGGCTAACTCTCTCTGCTCACTATAAGCGGTGGAGGGACCTTTTCATAATAATGATGGTGATAAGGCAGCTGATAGGCATTGTGGCTTCTTGATCAGAATAGCCAGTGAACTTAAAACAGCAGAGATCATAACTTAATACATGTTAACATATTACTGATAACAGTTAACATTTATTTTTAAATAAAGAGAAAGGCATTTGGATTTAAAGCAATGGCAATTCACATTTTACAGCTTGAAAAGTTTTGCTAGCTAACACAAACAAGTATCCCAGACTGATTATATGCAGCTCACTACTATGACTTTAAACAAATTTAAGATTACCCTTATTGTCTAATGATATGTTTGGAAGGATGAGGTCTTGGAGATTTTTAGTCTTCCAGATGCTCAGACAATGTGCTTTAACTACAGCATTCATCGGCCAGCCCCATAACACAGAAGAATTGCTATTTTAAGATTTGTATAGTGAATGATGTGTGCAGGATGAGAAACCCACTAGTGCTTGCAATTCTGGATAGCTTGAATTAGCTAATTAAGGTCACAATCCTGTCCTTTCTGCATATATATAAGCCCTATTGAAAACTGGGACTTCATACATGTGTAGAGGATTGTAGCTTTAAAATGTATTTCAAAATTATATAAGCAGAGGAGCAACTTGTCTGTTTGAAATATTATTTCATTAATATTCTTTTAACAAAAAGGCCCACGATCAATCAATTTGTGGTTGCTATTTGGTTTTTACTATAATGCAAACAGAAGTAGTTTATGCAAGTGGTGACAGAAAATCTAAAATGGTTCAAGAAAACAGAATTGCTCATTTCTAACAACCCTCTTGGATTGTGTGGATTTTCAAGTTAACCAAATACAAAAAACTGCATTTTGCTTTCTTCTGTGAATTGTATAAGTTGTATTCATCCTCTGTTTTATTTGCACATTGAAGTGGTGAGTCAGAATGTGGAATGAATGTGGAAGAGTCAACAGCTCTTCGTAGGAGCAAGGCTGTTGATTCACCCTTTTTTATCTGGGGAAGCAACAGCAGGGTTGTTATTTTGTGGGAAGAGTTCCATAAACCAACACAGTGATCTGTGACTTAGTGAAAACAGCAGTGGGATAAGGTGGAAATATCCTGAATTTTCTTGTTTCCTTTTGCATCTGAAGATAATAACCATAGGAGTTCCTTGAATCAATAAGTGTCAGGCTCCCCATGCCTGCTTTAGAGAACTTCAGCTGAAGGAGCACACTCCATCCTCATCAACATTTCAGGGGCTGCATGCTGGTAGTGGATGGTGCCAGACGTACTTGCTCTCTTTCCATGTTCCATCCAGTCAAGCAAGAGGCACTATCACAGCTCCATCCAGGCAAAAGTGCTCACAAAGAATGAGGAGCAGGGCTGGTAAGTGGTGTAGTCTAGGGACTGTCCTAAGGGACAGATGAGAATGGCCTGAAGGGCAGCTCTCACCCTGAAGTTCCCCACCACTGCTCAAATAGATGCTTCAAATTAAATAAAAATTAGGCCTAAAACAAATTTCACACCCAGTCAATGATCCTGTAATAAACATCTAGTTTCCATCAAATAAAAATAAGGTGCTGCTTCCAGCTTTTGAGGCCCCTAGCCATTATAATCACCTCACCTGTCTCCTGAGAAATCTCTATGTGGGACAAGAAGCTACAGTTAGAACTGGATATGGAACAACTGATTGGTTCAAAATTGGGAAAGGAGTACGGCAAGGCTGTATATTGTCTCCCTGCTTATTTAACTTATATGCAGAATTCATCATGCAAAAGGCTGGGCTGGATGAATCCCTAGCCGGAATTAAGATTGCCAGAAGAAATATCAACAACCTCAGATATGCAGATGACACAACCTTGATGGCAGAAAGTGAGGAGGAATTAAAGAACCTTTTAATGAGGGTGAAAGAGGAGAGCGCAAAATATGGTCTGAAGCTCAACATCAAAAAAACTAAGATCATGGCCACTGGGCCCATCACCTCCTGGCAAATAGAAGGGGAAGAAATGGAGGCAGTGAGAGATTTTACTTTCTTGGGCTCCATGATCACTGCAGATGGTGCCAGCAGTCACGAAATTAAAAGACGTCTGCTTCTTGGGAGAAAGGCGATGGCAAACCTAGACAGCATATTAAAAAGCAGAGACATCACCTTGCCAACAAAGGTCCGTATAGTGAAAGCTATGGTTTTCCCAGTAGTGATGTATGGAAGTGAGAGCTGGACCATACAGAAGGCTGATCGCCGAGGAATTGATGCTTTTGAATTATGGTGCTGGAGGAGACTCTTGAGAGTCCCATGGACTGCAAGAAGATCAAACCTATCCATTCTTAAGGAAATCAGCCCTGAGTGCTCGCTGGAAGGACAGATCGTGAAGCTGAGGCTCCAATACTTTGGCCACCTCATGAGAAGAGAAGACTCCCTGGAAAAGACCCTGATGTTGGGAAAGATGGAGGGCACTAGGAGAAGGGGACGACAGAGGACGAGATGGTTGGACAGTGTTCTCAATAGTCAGCATGGATTTCTGAAAAATAAGTCATGTCAGACTAACCTGATCTCGTTTTTTGACAGAATTACAAGCCTGGTAGATGAAGGGAACGCAGTGGATGTAGCCTACCTTGATTTCAGCAAGGCATTTGACAAGGTGCCCCATGATATTCTTGTAAAGAAGCTGGTAAAATGCAGTCTTGACTATGCTACCACTCAGTGGATTTGTAACTGGCTGACTGACCGAACCCAAAGGGTGCTCATCAATGGTTCCTCTTCATCCTGGAGAAGAGTGACTAGTGGGGTGCCACAGGGTTCTGTCTTGGGCCCGGTCTTATTCAACATCTTTATCAATGACTTGGATGATGGACTCAAGGGCATCCTGATCAAATTTGCAGATGACACCAAACTGGGAGGGGTGGCTAACACCCCAGAGGACAGGATCACACTTCAAAACGACCTTGACAGATTAGAGAACTGGGCAAAAACAAACAAGATGAATTTTAACAGGGAGAAATGTAAAGTATTGCACTTGGGCAAAAAAATGAGAGGCACAAATACAAGATGGGGGACACCTGGCTTGAGAGCAGTACATGTGAAAAGGATCTAGGAGTCTTGGTTGACCACAAACTTGACATGAGCCAACAGTGTGACGTGGCAGCTAGAAAAGCCAATGCAATTCTGGGCTGCATCAATAGGAGTATAGCATCTAGATCAAGGGACGTAATAGTGCCACTGTATTCTGCTCTGGTCAGACCTCACCTGGAGTACTGTGTCCAGTTCTGGGCACCACAGTTCAAGAAGGACACTGACAAACTGGAACGTGTCCAGAGGAGGGCAACCAAAATGGTCAAAGGCCTGGAAACGATGCCTTATGAGGAACGGCTAAGGGAGCTGGGCATGTTTAGCCTGGAGAAGAGGAGGTTAAGGGGTGATATGATAGCCATGTTCAAATATATAAAAGGATGTCACATAGAGGAGGGAGAAAGGTTGTTTTCTGCTGCTCCAGAGAAGCGGACACGGAGCAATGGATCCAAACTACAAGAAAGAAGATTCCACCTAAACATTAGGAAGAACTTCCTGACAGTAAGAGCTGTTCGACAGTGGGATTTGCTGCCAAGGAGTGTGGTGGAGTCTCCTTCTTTGGAGGTCTTTAAGCAGAGGCTTGACAACCATATGTCAGGAGTGCTCTGATGGTGTTTCCTGCTTGGCAGGGGGTTGGACTCGATGGCCCTTGTGGTCTCTTCCAGCTCTATGATTCTATGATTCTATGATTCTAAGCTACGAACATGAGTCTGACCAAACTGCGGGAGGCAGTGGAAGACAGGAGTGCCTGGCGTGCTCCGGCCCATGGGGTCACGAAGAGTCGGACACGACTAAACGACTAAACAACAACAAGCCATTATAAAAATTAGAAAATGGCAACAAAGACAAATGAAGGCATCAAAAATGAGTACCGGTAGTTTCTTTATATATAATCAACTTATCTGGGGCAATGTAGTCAGCACAATCTGATCTTGTGCCATGAGCACTGATGTGTTTTTAAAATGAATATTTATTAATATTTTAAAACTCTTTAATATGACAAAATCAGTATTGGTTAACAGAAAAAGTCTTACCAGATCACATCTCTCGTTTTCTTCTATTTGCAGCTCTTAAGCTGAGAGTGTGTGTCATGTTTTGCTCCATTATGCATAAAGACAGGTTGTAAAACCTATAAAATGCCCCTTCGAATGGCCCTCCTGGCCTTTCACCCCAACCAACTGGCCTCACTGGAGATGGGGTGGGGAATCTTGAGTTTGTCATTCCTCGTCTGTAGGCAGCTGAGGTTGTCGAGAACTGATGAAGGTGCAACTCCTGGCACCACCACTGTGGTTGGATTCAAGGTGTGGTACCTGGGCAGCTCTACAGGATTCAACCCAGATGGTTGAATTCCTTCTACTTCTCATTGACATTTGTAACTCATGTTAGCGTTGACAATGACTGTGGGGAAAACATTGACCATATTGAGAACGTAAGAAGAGCTCTCCTGGATCAGATCAAAGGCCCATCTAGTTCTGCATCCTGTCCTCTCTGTGGCCACTGAGTTGCCTATCAGAAGCCTGTAAGCTACCCCTCTTAGATTCCCACCAACTGATATTCAGAAGCAGAACATAGGCATCATGGCTAGTAGCCATGGGTAGCCTTATCTTCCATGAATTTGTCCAAACCTCTCTTTAAATCCCTCCAAGTTGGTGGCCATCGGTACCTCTTATGGGAGCAAATTCCTTCGTTTGCACTGTGTGAACAAGTACTTCTATTTGTCCGCCCTGAATCTTCCAACATTCAGCTTCATTGCATGGATGAGAGATGCAGGAAAACTATTCTTTAGCCACTTTCCCTACACCATGTATAACTTTATACACCTCTGTAATGTCCCTGCTTACATGCCATTTTTCTAAGCTGAAAGCCTCAAATGTTGTTGTGATCTTTCTTCATAGGGGAATTGTTCCAGATCCATTATCATTTTGGCTACCCTTTTCTGAACACTTTACATTGCTACAATATCCTCTTTGTAGTTCAGCAACTAGAACAGTATTTGTTTGTTTGTTAATTACCTGCCCTTCACTTGCAGGCCCCCAGTATTCTAAATGTGGTCAAACCATATATTTGCATAATCGTGTTATGATATTTGCAGATTTATATTCAAACCATTTTCTCATGATTCCTAATGTGGAATTCACCTTTTTCGCAGCTGATGCACGCGGGGTTGACATTTCCATCAAGCTATCTACCGTGATCTATTGTCATTGCCATTTCAGATCCCACAAATATGTGTGTCCCAATGTGCATCACTTGCTGACCTTGAACCATCTGAAGGCAATCCTGTATTGAGTGTGTGTGTGAGAGAGTGTTGTTAAAATACCTGCATATGAGTGTGTGTGTGAGAGGGACAGGCTGCAATCAGATGCTACTTTATTCTATCTTTATGGTGTTCCCTTGTTCATTTTTTACGTTTTATCTTGATCTTTCACATGACTTTAAATCCACTTCTGGAAAACTAGTGGAATGTAGTTTAGCACTCTTTTCTGTCTTAATTGTTTCCAGAAAACATCAATTTGCAACTTCATTAACGTGGATAATTGTGGGAGTTTCACACTGATGAAATTTGGGCTGATATACTGGCCTACAGTTCTTTCCCACCATTTAAAATTTAGCATGGCACGGCAGTATATTGATCAAAAAGCCATAGTTCCATAATGCAGCAAAGTCCTGCAGTGTGAAATGAACTTTAGAAACTAGAACAGAAGGGCCAGCAATTGTCATCAGTAAAACTTAGGCAATAAACCCCCACATATGAATGCATAGAGACATAGACAGAAAGATCAGACCTATGGAGGTCTATTCAGAAGTTCAGTGGGACCTACTCCAACATTTCTCTGATGAAAATAGGGACGTCCCATTCCATAATGATACTTCTACTATTTATACCCCACACAGCTTCCAACACATATAAAAACATAATAAAACATTAAACAGGATTGCCTTCAGACAGCTTGTGGGTCGAATTACTCCATACCCTCCAACATTTCTCCAATGAAAATAGGGACAACCTAAGGAAAAGCAAGACATTCTGGGATCAAATCAGAAACCTGGATGGCTTCTCTAAATCAGGGACGTCCCTGGAAAATAGGGACACTTGGAGGGTCTGACATGTGCAGTAGCACCCATGGCACTTTTTCAAAATTCCAAATGCACCCACAGGCCTCAAAACCTCTTCTCTATATGCTTGACATTTTTCTTCATTAATTCTTCCAGTTTACCTGGAACAGATGTTAAGCTATATGGCCTGTAATTTCCTGCAGTCCCCATATTTCTTTCTTTATTTTCCTTTTCCTTTTTTAAGAACAAACTAATATAGTGTTTCATTGTTCACTTGCCAACCCTTATATGCAGAGACCAATCTTAGGAATCAGTTACATATTTTTCTTAGAAGATCGGCAGTTTGGCATTTGAGTTCTTTATGAACTATTGTATGGCTACCATCTGGAATCAGTGATTTGTTCACTTTTAATTTGTTGATGCATTCGAGATCTAATCACACATTAGGTTCCGGTATGGGCTCGGTATTTTTCCTAGCAAATCAGAAAGTGGAAGTAACGTTTTACAGAAATAGACCAACCAAACATAAATATTAATTGCTTTTCTTAATGAAGAGTATTATTTTCTTTCTAGACATACCTTTTTTTGATTTAGCAATTGTCCAGTCCTTAAAAGAAACTAGTATGTAGGCTACAGTAGTCATAGCCGGTTCTTAATTTTTCATCTGTAACTCTTCCACCAAAGGCTGCTTCCATATACAGAAACAATTTCCGTATCTTAAATGCTTTGTCCACTTACAAAAAAACCCACATTTGCCTGCAGCCAGAACACTTGGTTACACAGATCCTTTAATATGAAACCAAGGAATGGTTTTGACAGATACAGTAAACAGTTTAAACCTGACCTGAGGCATTTTTTATGGCTGTCATCCTGATAGTTGAAATTAAAGGTGACATAGACCTTGCTTTTTATAAGAATGACATTTACTTGGAAGGATTATGTTGTAGAAATATGCTAGGCAGAAGCCAGCAAGTGGAGCCTTGGAACCAATAAGCTTGGATTTCAACAGGAAATGAAATGTACTGGTTCCAGTGTTCCTCTTTCTTCAACCCATGGAGAACCCACCGAGAAAGGAACACTGTGAATAAATTGTAACAATGAATCATCATATATTAATGGTGCCGTAACTCTCCAACAGTTTACTTTCCCCCAGATGGGGCACTCTTCCATTGTCTCTCAAGAAAGATGGAAGCATATTCAATTCTGATCGCTTACCTTAAATTTATTTTATATTATTTAAGATTTATTAACAGTTATTGTTCTAGAAATGCCTTACAAAATGTTGGAGTTTGCAATTCCAAAAGGTGGGGAAAGGGACAGATACCTCACTTGTTTAAGAAAGATACCTGAGGATATGAAATATTGCTCCCTGAATACTTTGGTGTGAAACTAGATGGTTAAAAATAAATAAAAGGAAGAATGCACACTATTTGGCTGCCTCCTAATTAGTTTAAGGTTAGAAAGATCAAAACCCTTCTCCTTCTTTCACATATGAGATTTTGGAGGAAAGTGAATCACTCTAACTTGCCTCACAAAAAGTCCCTGGATATAGTTGTCTGCAATTTGGCAGGCTTCATCCTGCAGGGCCTCTTGTACCTGAATTTTAATCCATGGCCCAAAGGGGAAAATTTATAGCCCCTTTTAGATTCTCAGTTATGAACAGAGAGATTGTTTTTATACAGAGCAGCTCAGAACCCAAATTATAGATTGAAGCAAAGATTATGGAAACAGATTAGAATTTTTAAAATGTGCACAGATACAAGGTCAGTCTTGAGGCCCATGTTCTCAGCTTGTAAGGTCAATATTCCCAAGATAAAATGTATTCCTTGCCTGATTTTGGTCCATAGATTTCAGTGGATCTACTCGGAGAATGACATAGTTGGATGTCGCCCAAACTTTCGTTGAATCTATTCTTAGGATTTGCATTTGCATTCAGAGTTATTCTTTCTCTAATTCGTATGTGCATGCATGCATATGTAAAAGAGTCTAACTTTCTTAATTCAAAATCCTTACAACTATAGTTTTAACTTAATATTATGCAAATATAAAATGAAATTCTTGGCTTATTGAGTTGTCATCTTTTTAAAGTTTAAAATCTGCTTATTGGCTTATTTCCTGGTTTTTTATGTTTAAAAAATTAGCTATTTTAGAAGTGTGACAGCACCATCAATGTGATTCTTGTTCAAATTGTTATTAACATAATTGCTAGTTAAAGATAAAGTCTTCTGTGTTCTCAATTATTTTTATTATTTGCATGAGAGTTTTAAACTAAACTAGATTTTCTTCCCCAAAATTGAGCTACCTCCTCTCTCCAAGTTCTAAAGTTAGAATGTAGAGTTGTTTAAATGTATCAGAGTAAAAAATGTTACCTTTTGAGAAGTAATTTCAAAAGAAAGAAAAAAGCACATCTAAATTTTGGCAAGATTTGATATTATTTCTTTGTTCCTCATTGTGATATTTTGCATGTGAATAAATGTGCAAAGTATGAGAATAATGAGAAATGAACTTTTAGATTACAGGTAAGTATTGAGTCCTAAGGCTGAAGTTCACGGGTTCTCTCTCTTGTGCCAAGAATGTGAATCAATTTCAGGGGTAGAAATAATTTACACTTTTCCTGCTTTCTTCAATGTATAAACTATGCCATTTAGATAGTTTTACACTATCTAAATTTATACAATACCTTACATTCATGATGCTTTGCATATACATATCTGTAAAAGGTTTTAGAGACCATGTAATTTCAAATAGGTCCCAGTTCCTTCATAATATAGCCTTGTAGGTTTGACACGATTAGCAAAAATTGTTGCAGCATAACTATGAAGGCTTTGAGCTCCCAACAACTTTAAAGTTTCAGTATGGACATCCCATATTTTCAGTCACCCTTGTTATTTACTTCCATAATGAAAATGGCTCCCAGTTGACTCCATTTACTGCCTACCATTCTAAATTTATCATGGAAATTTACTAAATTGTAAGCTGAATATAGTTTTGTATATAGAAACAGTGTGGTTTATTACATTTTACAGCCAGAATCCCCTTTACCTCCCCAAAAAGGTGATTAAGTTCAGAATAGAAATAATTATATATTTTGTATTTACAGAATGATATGGCTTGGCTTTCACATTTGGGCATGACACAACCCTTTTTCACCTTGCACATGCAAAAGCAGTAGTAGTCAGTTTTTCATGTGTGTCTTGACTGTATTGTAGTACACTGAAAATTGTTCAAATCAGCGGGAAACACAGCAAGTGGCTAACCAGTGTTGATGACTGTTGATGTGAAAACTTTTGCTTAACACAGAACTTTTATTCAGAGCTGTGCAAAGCCCATTAGCACTAAGATCAGTGGACACTTTGCCAATTAGACCTTCAACTGTTACACTAAATTACTCAACTTACTGTGAGTTGTCTTATTTATCTGTTATACTGAATTGTTCAGTTTACTGTGAGTGTTAAGAAAACACGGCTTTCAGAAACAATTAAGAAATACAAATCACACAAACAAAATGCAGGACTACCAGTACATTAGGCCACCTTACATATTAAATTTTAGGCGCACAGCTAGAATTTTATACATACCATATTTTTCGCTCCATAGGGCGCACCTGACCATAGGGTGCACCTAGTTTTCAGAGGGGGAAATCAAGGAAAAAAATATGACCCACCCCCAGCTCTGGGAGCAGCGGACAGGCTGCAGGCAGCCTGTGCGGTTCTCCCAGACCTTCTCCCTGCTTTTGCGGGAGGTGGGGGAATTCCCCCATCTCCCGCAAAAGCCCACAGGAGCCACACACTCTTTAAAGGGGCTGTGCGGCTTCTGCTGGCTTTTCTGGGAGGTGGAGGAATTCCTCAACCTCCTGCAGAAGCCCGCAGAAGCCGTGCGCTCTTTAAAGGGGCTGCGCGGCTTCTGCTGGCTTTTCTGGGTGGTGGGGGAATTTCCCCACCTCCTGCAAAAGCCCGCAGAAGCCGCACGCTCTTTAAAGGGTGCGTGGCTCCTGTGGGCTTTTCTACGAGATGGGAGAAGGGACTGATGCGGTCAGTCCCTCCTTCCTCCTGGGGAAAAGCCCGCAAGAGCTGCATGGAGTTTGTGTGCCTGGGGCTTTCCCTGCCTGCCTCCCCCCCCTGCATTTGCTCCATAAGACGCACACACATTTTCCCTTGCTTTTTAGGAGGGAAAAAGTGCGTCCTATAGAGCGAAAAATACTGTATATCTAAACACATAACATATTGAATGTTGTTGACAAATCTAAGGTATGATTGTCAAGGAGCCAAGCTAGACTGTAGTTATCAGTTGGATGTATGCTTTGTAGAAAACACAAGTCTACTTTTCTGTGATAAGTGAAATGGGTCTTTTGCGTATTACTGTACAAACGTTCTGATAGGTAGCTGTACATTACAGACTCTCTATTCCCTTGGATTCAAGTTATTGATCTATTTGCGTTTGTGTCTTATGTTATTTAAAGTACCTTTGGGCTCAGATATATAAAACAAATCTAATAGCATTTTAATATCAAAGCACTAAACCTGAAATGTCAGTTTCCTATTACAATGACTTTGTTTTGATGAGTATTGACATAGCAATCTACTTCTTCTTTGGCGATCACTCGTAGCCGAGTAAGATTATCTTCCATGAACATGTTCTTAACAGTGAGTCCATAAGTGACCGTGGAGGCCAATTCTGGATCCACACGGCCTTCCACAGTGGGGACATAGGTTTCCGGGTGGGAGTTGATCACAGTGTGGATTTGCCCAATGTGCCTTCCTCTTAGCTCATTCCTCTTTTCTGCCCTGAGTTTGTGTTTTTTCAAAGTCCATGACACCTTTCATAAAGGCTGTTCTCCAATTGGAGTGCTCACAGGCCAGTGCTTCTCAGTTATCAGTGCTTATACTATATTTTTAAAGATTTGACTTGAGAGCCTCTTTAAACCGCTTTTGTTGCCCACTGGTATTTCACTTTTCATTCTGAAGTTGGGAATAGAGTACAGTGGTGCCTTGGGTTACAGATGCTTCAGGTTAGGGACGCTTCAGGTTACAGACTCCGCTAACCCAGAAATAGTACCTCAGGTTAAGAACTTTGCTTCAGGATGAGAACAGAAATTGTGCTCCAGCGGCGCAGCGGCAGTGGGAGGCCCCATTAGCTAAAGTGGTACTTCAGGTTAAGAACTGTTTCAGGTTAAGGACGGACCTCCAGAAAGAATTAAGTGCTTAACCAGAGGTACCACTGTACATGGAGTAGGCTTTGCTACCCAAAATGATCTGTCATAGCAATAGCCTTGTGTTGGTTATTTATTGTACTTAGTATCATCTTTATTGCTCATTGTAAATAAGTAAAATAACCAAAAATCAACTCTTGAAACAGATGAAATAAACAAACCAGAGCCGCCCCATAAAAGTATTGCAGCTAAGTTCAAATTACTTTTAGCTCATGACCAAGAAGAGGAGCCCAATGCTGTAATCAACGTAGAACACCAGGACTTGATCTCCTTTGAGCAAGGCTTCTCCAATAAACAAATGCCTATAATACAGGAATTAGGCCAATTTCTAGAACTCACCCCAGCCTTGGAAAAGTCAAAAGCTCATCTGCCGGACTTCAACCTGGAAAAAATCCAATATTAACCTCAAGGAACGAGGCGATTGCCAGTGGTGTTGAAATCCCTTTCATGGTTGACATCCAGCCCCGCGTCAAAATGATTTATACCCATCTATCACCATTGTGAAAAGAGAGCTCGATGGTCATCCCATACTAAAGTTAAAGCGTCTACAAAACCCAGGGTGAACAAGGTAGTCAATCAAATGGAATGCTTACAGTTATGAGATTGTCAAATGATTAAATTATGACTTTGCTGTCTTCAACCACGAGAGAATGTAATTGGAAACCAACTTTAAAAGATGACTGATTGCATCATTATTGATACTGACCTGGTTGAGAAAACTTTCCAGCACTACAGAAGCCTGCTTATTCTACTTTTGTATAGACTAGTGATTATCGCCTATTTCCTCCCTCTACAGTTTCATATTGTGATGTTCAGATTTTAATTAGGAACCCATGTAGGGTGCAGTGTATGTGAGACAAGTGGGTTAGGGAGACAGGTAGGGTTGGCATGAAGCTGCAGGACCTTGGATAGCTCCAAACAGGAAAGGGAAAAAAGCTCAAGCTCAGTTGAGGTCTTTCATTCCCTTTGCACCAGACTCTCCCTTCCAAACTCTGTTGTTTTCTTCAAGAATGTAGCCTTAAAAGGATAGTCTTCTGGCCTACAGTCTAGCACTCAATTGCATCTGTCGGCTCCTTGCTTATGCAGGCAAGCAGGCAGTAGGGAGCATGAGGCTCCCAGTGGGCTGATTCTTCAAAATAAATCGGCTCAGTTTCTGGAATTCCTGCCTCAAGGACTCCAGTTCATGCTTAATTCCTGTTCATGCTTAGTGCTGGGGCTAGGGCTGGGATCAGCATTGCCCTAAGTTGCACCATGGTTATATTGATCTGTCTGCTTCCTTCTCAACACTCTAACCCTGGCTGCTGCTCAGGGTTGAGGTCATGATGGTGGGACTCCAGAGTCATCAGAATCTTTTCGTCTTGTTGAAAATTGAAGGCTACAAACTTCCAATTTCCATCAAAGAGTATATGGAATAACCTGGGTGATTAATGTGTTTATACTTATTTGTAAAGTACTATTTATTCACTGAACCACAATTACGTTTTGACAGACAGCTGTGTAATGTTGGGTCCATTTCCTCTTGTGTGGTTGGGACTGGTCTTAATTCCATACAGGATTCCTGACTCCATCTTTCCTTCTCTCCAGTGGCTCTTCCTGTTTCCATTTGCCTGCATTGAGTCTGAATGCAATTCCCCCCATAGTAAAAGTCTTATTCTATCAACCTTCTTTGCCAGAGTAGTTCATATCTGAGCTATGGAGAGGCTCTATGAGGACCACTTCATCCCAGTTCTTTGTGGCATTCTTGGAGTTCAGTTTTCTGTGAATAGCCGGGGATAGAATGAAAAGAGGGCATTTGCCTTGCCAAGCGTAATAAGTGGCATGGGACACTCTAAATAAAGCAAGATATTTTAGTCTTGCCTCTGAAATTGCTAGTTCAAGCCTCTTATTTTCTAAGTTCCTGCACCATTTGATAAACAATGACTTGGCACCATGCTTTCAACAAAGAAGACGCTTCCTATAGAATGATTGGGATATGTTCGTGTGCCTATATGAATGCAAGGCAAGAGGCATTTTGAAACAAAGATTTTAACTATTTTCTTAGAACTTTTAGGCATAGAAGCACAAAGGAAAGAAATTTAGACATTGACCTATTGTGGGAGCCCTGACTTTGAAAATTCAGTGGCTTTTTAAATGTGATTCTTCTTTCTCTTACTTGCATGTATTCATGTGCATTATTTTTGACGGGGAAACTTTAAAGATAGTTCGATATTCCTTAAAGGCAACTTTTTAAAGCTGTTATATTTATAGTATGGAATTGCATGAGTTTATCAACTGCTATTCTGTTCAGAAGTAACACCTACTAGTTGGCTAAAATTATAGTGCTCTCACAAGGTGAAAACCCCCTCTTTTGTTAGGTTTACATATTTCTGCTTGTTTGATATTATTCAGAAAGAACTTTTCTCATTCTTGGCAGAACATTTTATTTTTAGCACTCTAAGAGTGAAATTTTATTGCCTTTTTGAAGGATATCTAAGTAATTAAACTATATAAAAGTATAGTTACACAGGTTTTATCAATAGTTAGAAAACCCTGTAAATTTCAAGTCCTATAGATAATTTTACCAACCCTGAACTTCCTGCCATATGAGAGGCCACACTGCAAAGTAAAATGTTGCTATATGTGCTGCCATAGCAGGACAGTCATGGTAACATACAGTCAAAGTTAAGACAAATCAACACTTTTCATCTTACTGAATGCACAGCTTCTTGTGGAACCTTGATATAATACCATAGAAAAGTGGGAGGGGTTTGGGTACCATATGAGTTGTCATCTTTACAGTGCTTTCTATTAATATTTATTCAGGGTGGGGTTCAGTTAACAAGTCTACTAAAATCTGCTCTGCAGGGCTGGAGAAAACTCCAGAAAAGGTTTAGGGGAGCCAGGGGGAGGAGGCAGGGAAGTTCCATTGTGCATGCAGACTTTGTTCCTTGTGCACATATCCCACTTAGCACTACATCAAATTCTATCTTTCCTTCTTAATAAACATGTATAGGTTTGGGCAGGCATCACTGTATTCATTTGAAATCGCCTGACCCTCAAGTCTTGAAAACAACACCACTACTGAATCTCATTTCCTATCCAGTCATGGATACCAATTTGTACAGATTTTTATCTTTGTTGCTTTTAAAAAACTGCTTATAAACAGTCGTAATTAAGCAGTATATAAATTGTCAAAATAAATGTAAAATACTTTTCAAAATGTCCTTATTATATACCACTCCTGCCACAATTGTGAAGAAGTTAGTTTGCTGTGCTCTGTGTTATGAAAGTATAAATTATTGACGGATTTTTTAAAAACTTAAAGTACTGTATTTTTCCTTGCATAAGACTAGGGGTTTTTTAAACCAAAAAATTAGGTTTAAAATTGGGGCTCGTCTTATACATGGGTAGTGCTGAGGGGTGTTTACTTAATTTGGAGTCCTCAAAAATAGGGAGTGTATTATACACGGAAAAATATGGTATATAGTTGTGTGTATATAGTACATAGATCTCCCTGAAGTCAGTCAGTTTGCAGAGGCTTATTCTAAAGTGTTCATAAAAGCTTGTATCCTAACTTTTTCCTCTGTTAACAGAAGTGGAGTTGAACTCACTCTTGCATTCACAACTCTCTTCTGTGAGCAGAAGCTCTTTTAGATTATGGAGCAAAAAGTTAGGATCCATGCGAAAGTGTCTAATTTGTAAATACTGAAATTTTTAAATTTCCTTCCAGCGATATCTTGTTATACTTGTTCATAAGGCGAAATCTGTTTATCAGTTAGGTGCACCCAAGGATTTAGCGTGTCCAATGGGATTGTTGACTCTTTCCTCATTTGGACAGCAGATTTTCATTCCATATTATGATCTGGTTTAATAAATGATGTCCCATGCAGTGTGCTGGTGTTGCTGTTTTAAAAAAAGGAAAAACTTCAAAGCCTTTTTGAGTAAACCTCATTGGGACCAATTCTGGCAAAACACATAGAATTATTTAAAGTGGATTATAAATGTCTCTAGCCCATGGAACTAGTTGCAGTTTTTTTGGACCCTGGCCTTGATTCTAACATTTGTGAATTGCTGGGTATCAGAAATTCTCCATGAACTTCTGGGATCATTTATTTTGTTCCTGTGGAGAAAATTTATTCATTGAGGCCATTCTGTATCATTTATTTCTTTATCCACATCCAAAGTAAAATAATAAATTCAGTTGTTTTTTTTAAGAACATAAGAGCCTGCTGGATCAGGCCCATGGCCAATTTGGTCCAGCATTCTGTTCTCACAGTGGCTGGTCAGATGCCTATGGGAAATCCGCATGCAGGATTCTAGTACAGGAGCATTTTCCTGTCTTGTGGTTTCCAGCAACTCAGATTCAGAAGCACCGCTGCTTCCACCTATAGAGGCAGAGCATAGCCATCATGCCTAGTAGCCATTGATAGCGTCCTTTTGCATGAATTTGTCTAATCTTCTTTTAAATCCATCTAGGTTGGTGGCCCTCACTGCCTCCTGTGGGACCAAGTCCTGTGTATAGCTCCGTACACTGTGTGTGTGAATGAATGAATGAATGAATGAATCACAAAGCAGATTGCAGACAAAGATTTCATGTTAGGACATGTTTCTGTTCCAACATAAAAGTCTAAGATAGTTAACATAAAAGTTATTTAGACAGAACCATTGCACAAGCTAAAGAAGTTGTACAGCTTCATAACATTAAGAGAGATTTAAATATGATAGGCAAAACAACTTTGTCTCATATTCCTCCTTGGGTTTTTGCTTCTGAAGAGACAAAAACCCACTCTTGGCTTTCTTGTCCACCCATATTAAATTGTTAACAATTTCTGGGTCATGTTTAATGACTGCCTTGTTTAATGAGGCATTTTAATAAAGAGAAAAGGTGGGAGGTTAATTTTAGTTGTGGACCCAGTTTCTGTTTCTTCTACCTAACCAACTCAGTTTCCATAGTTTTTGTAGCAGGTAAAACATTCTTTAAAGAGATGAATTACCTGATACATTCATTCCAAAATATTCTACCGGTGTGTTTGTAGAGAGAACGCCATGGGTCACTGTGGAATGTTGATGTGGATTGTGAATAAATTAACCCTAGACAGAGCACTGAAGTGTTTGTGGAGTTCACTGAACAGGCATAATCATTAACAAACAACACATGCTTCTGAAAATACATTGGTTTAAAAAAGAATTCAAGGTAACATAAGAGGGTTATATATTTCTTTGTTCTTGAGGATAAGAAAGGCATCTATTATGATAATGTACTAGGGCTATACAATGGTATTTTCTGTTCTAAAAGATATATATTTTGGCAAAAAGACCTTGCTAGTCACACTAGCTACACACAAGAAAAGAAAGTAGTTTTTATCTCAGGTGAGTAACTAGTTGTAATAAAATAGAACAAGTTCAGTTCACCTGCATTAGGTGTCTTAAATCCACCAACGAAAGCTAGTTTTAAAATGTAAGAAGTTGAATGCAGAAATGAACGTACAATATAGATTATGGTCTAAACAGTCCAAAATATGTTAAGAAGTAATTATTAATCACTTTTATGCAGATACTTAAAGCTGCAGCCTTGCTATCTCCATGTACAGAGAGTGAAGTGTAGACGTCCTCTCCTGCTATGGTGCTAAAGCACTTCTACACTTCCTCTGTTAGCATATAGTGGCTAGCGCAAAGGCTTTGCCTTGTGGAAACAGCAGGCTTCCAACATTTCATGGACAAAAATAGGGATGCATGTACAGACAAAACGAATGCCATCAAGAGCTACTACCAAGGCTACATTGTGTAGCACTCTGTAAGACAGCTAATTACTGTATTTTTCACTCTATAAGATGCACCAGACCACAAGACACACCTAGCTTTTGGAGGAGGAAAACAAGAAAAAATATATTCTGAATCTCAGAAGCCAGAACAGCAAGAGGGATCTCTGCGCAGTGAAAGCAGCAATCCCTCTTGCTGTTCTGGCTTCTGGGATAGCTGTGCAGCCTGCATTCGCTCCATAAGATGCGCACACATTCCCCTTACTTTTTAGGAGGAAAAAAGTGAGTCTTATAGAGCAAAAAATACGGTAAACGCTCACATGAGCCCAAAGCTGCAATCTTAGAGACATTTGCAGGAGATTAAACATGACTGACCACGGTAGAATTTACTTCTGAGTAAAACAAGCATAGGATGGCATTGCAAAAGACTTGTGCAAAAGAATGTGAGGGTGAAGTGAGGCTCCAGGATGGTAGAGAGTATTAAAATAAAGCCAGTTCAGTTCAAGGAAACTTTAATACTGATTATTTCAAAATTTTCAAAGCAGTTTTGGTCATAAAGGACTAATTGGAATTTGACTGTCAAAAAACTTTTGTCAGTGATGACTGATTGACTGGGGGCGGCTATTTTCTCGCCCACCATGGAGCTGAATGTAATATGTCAACAATTTTATTCCAGTAGTAACTTGTAGGAAATGAGGAAGAGGTGTAAGCATTTGGAAGTGCCAAGGAAATATTGGAGGGCAGGGCAATATTGAACTGAAGAAAAGTGCCTTATACTGACACTGTACTATTCTTTTAGATCTTTAACTGGGAATGATTGTTTCAACTGAATTCAAATGTGTAGGCTTGTAATCATTCCAAATATTTACCACAGGGCTGCTGTCTGAAGGGCTTTGGAATATAGTCTGAATTTTTTGTGTGTGTTTTTTAAATACCAAGTCCTAATGTATGGAGGGGTCTGCAGAACTGAAGTACATAGAAAATTTCATTAGGCAAGAAATAAAGTTTTCTTTAGTTGAAGGATGCATTTCAGAAGAGAAGCTCATCCATGTTGGAGCATTCCCAAGACTAGTAAAAGAAGCCAAAATATTTGGGGTGGGGGGAGCCAGTCCTGTTTACTCCACACATTGTAAAACGTTGGTTGTGTGAATCATTTCCGAGTCCCTCCTGCTCACCTGATCTGGATGAACTCCCACTCCCAAGTGTAAGTAGGATGCCAATGGGAACTTTTTTTAAAGCCTCCTCTCTCCCTCTCCCTCTCTCTCCTCACCCCCCCTCATTGTACCTCTAGCCCATCTTTCTAGCTTTACAGTGGTATCTCAGGTTAAGAACTTAATTCATTCTGGAGGTCCATTCTTAACCTGAAACTGTTCTTAATCTGAGCTACCACTTTAGCTAATGCGGCCTCCCATTGCTGCCATCCCACCGTCATGTGATTTCTGTTCTCATCCTGAAGCACAGTTCTTAACCCGAGGTACTACTTCTGGGTTAGTGGAGTCTGTAACCTGAAGCGTCTGTAACTCGAGGTACCACTGTATCTCTTTCCTGTAGAGATATCTTCTAAAACAGTCAGCTTTCCATAGACTCTGAACATGTTTAATGCACACTGAGATACCTTGGTTTTATTTCCCTGTCTTTCCCTTACTAAAGTTTTTTTAATGGAAAAACTCAACAAAACCTTGAAGTCTTAAATCTTATTTGATATACTTGCCACACTTTGGGGGGGGGTGTGTTTGCGTATCTTGTAAGTTTTAAGCCAATATGCATTTGTTTGTTCTGTCCAATAAATAAAGTGTTTAATCTGCCAAAAAGTCTGGTTGGGCTGCCATGGCAACCAAACAATGATTGAAACTCAGCTGTCACAGTGACTTGTCTGGCTTGCATTTTACTGCTCTGAAGCTTTTATAGAAACGAGGCCTACGAAATGCTATAGGAATCTTCATGAATGAGAAGAGAAGACCTTTGTGTGGAAAAGAATGCACAGAAACAGTCTGAGAACGAAAACATGTCCTTGCCTTGCACCTTCCTACCATAGTGGCAAAAATAGATGTGTTTATTTCTAAACAGTTCCTGATGAGCCCGATGTGCACAAAGGAACCTTCATCACACCCAAAGGTGTTCAGAACCTTAAGACAACAAATTCTGCATTGTTAATAGAACTGGGAGTGCCAATTTTATTTTGCACGCAGCTATTCTGGGTCTGCTCTTCTAAATGAACTTCATTGGCAGTAGATTTGAGACAACGAAAAGCAAGTATTTAACACAATGCATTTTTAAAAAATTCAGTGCCACAGTATGTGATAATGTCTATGGGTTTAGATGGCCTAAAGAGGAATTGGACAAATGCATGGATGGTAAGTCTACCCATCAGCCATGCCACTAAATATCACTTCAGGAGGGATTCCTGGGAAATATGTAGCTGACCACTGCTGGAAACAGGATTCTGTAGTAGCTAGTCTTTTTCATCTGATCCTCTTGGGCTGCATTTATTTATTTTTTAAAACCATGAATGGGCAATTTTGTTTCTGTTGAAGGTCTCATACATTTGAGGATAATCTGTTGGGGGCTGTATGTTGGTGGTGAGTGGAGACAAAAGTGTTCTGGATTAATTAAGAGGGAATGAAGACCACCCTGCTGCATTTTTCACCATGGCTACTTCAAATTACAATTCACTATCTACTCAGAAGTAAGCCCCATTGAGTTCCTTTCTGACTTTTGTATGCTATACATGCACACACAGAGCACAGAAGCCTGCTGTTTTGTTCTTGGCCAGAAGCCTCCTAATTTGTTCTCAGACAGCTGGGGGAAAGCTGCTTTTACCTGAGCAGTTCAACCAGGAAAATACGTGTTTAAAAAATCAGTTTATTTTTATTAAATAAAACATTGCCCCTTCCAGTTGTTCTGTAACTACATAGAAAGAGGTTGGGGGAGGAGAGAATAGTTTTAAAAGCCGGCAAATAACACGGAGGAAACTAATGAAATGAATTTATGGGTTAGAAGAATGGGGCAGCTTCAGAAAGCATTGAGTATTGAAGGTTACCCACCTGTATCTTAAGGGAACAATGTCATCTCTAATTTGTTTACATGGGCAGGTAACATCCATCAAAATATGGGGGCAGAAGAAGACTGTATGTGTGTGCTTGTAAAGACACAGGGCAGTGTTAACCTAATGAACCCCATCAGCGGAAGCCCTTGTAGAAGGGGAAGCAGGTCAGAAATTAAGGCTTCTGATATTTATGTGGGTTACACAGTGTTCTCCAGAATTTCACAGAAGCCATAGAATTACTGTCAAAACATAGTTATGGTAAAGTAAAGTTATGGAAGGATACTCTAGTATGCAAAGGGAAGTATGTGTGGTCTGGAGTAAAAGTTAATATTTGGAACTACTAATACTACTGAGATAGAGGAATTATGATTGGAGTTCAATCTTGCAAGTTCAGCAGTGTTATTAGCTTGCATAGTTTTCAGAAGCTTTCTTGCCAACACCTTCAATTTGACATTGTCTTCTTCCCTTAAATATTCAGAGACCCCTTCCTCCTGTCTCGCAATGGAGATTAAAACACATGAGAATATGGAGAGGGGGAGGGAGACACTAATGGCAAACGAAATGAGTGGCAAAAAAGCCCCAAAGAAGAGAATCAAAATAGATCAGCAGCAGCAAGAGAAAAGAGAGGAGTCCTTAATCATTTTGTAAAGGAGGACAAAGAGAAGCCCTTCTAAATGGCAACAGGGGAGTCAAAGCATCAGGATGAGAAATAGCAGAAGGTAGCAGAGGTTTGGTAAGACGACTAGCATTTGACGAATAGCAAGAGGAAGAAATAAAAATAGATAAGGGAAAGGAACAAGAAGGAACTTAAAATGTGTAGTTTAATCTTAATATTGATAATGGAAGAAACCAGGGAAAGCTGAGGCTATGTACAAACTACAGTGGTACCTCGGGTTACAGACGCTTCAGGTTACAGATGCTTCGGGTTAAGAACGGAAATCGTGCACCAGCAGTGCAGCGGCAGCAGGAGGCCCCATTAGCAAAAGCGTGCCTCAGGTTAAGAACCGTTTCAGGTTAAGAATAGACCTCTGGAATGAATTAAGTTCTTAACCCGAGGTACCACTGTATACCTTAAGACACATTCTTTCTCTCAGAGGATTATGGGCACTGTAGTTTGTTAAGACTTGTGAGTAATCTGGGAGTAAGCTGTATTGAATTTAATGGGACTTATGAGTAGGTATGGTTGGGATTGCTACTTTAGTCTCATAAAGTTTAAAAGGGGCTTACTTCCAGTTAAGTGTGTACAGGATTGTATCCTTAAACTGAAAAGCAGGAAAATTGTAAAGTAAAATATATCATGCCAATCATCGTGGGATGGAATGAGCCTCTGAATAAGGGTGTTTATACAATCAGTAGATAAGAAAGGATTTGTTTTTAAAATATGTAGATATAATTGATAAGAGCAGTTTTGTGAAGTGAAAAGTGAGACGGAATCCAAGTTCTTGCAGTGAATAAAGAAGAATGGTGATTTGTAAGGAAGGGAAAAACAAATGTGAAATTAAAAGCTTAGGGGGCAAGACAATAAGCACTATTCTGGTTGAGACAATGATGTGATGTGCGAGGCTATGAAGGCAGTTGGAAATATCAGTAAGACTAGAGGGAGGGAAAGATAGAGCTGGAACACCATCAGCTTAACAATAGTACTGCAAGTCGAAAGAAGATATCAGACTTCCAGTGCAGGAGTTTAAAGTGTGTGAAAGGAAGTGGGTAAAGAATTGACATACACACCCTGCCCGAAAGCCTGCAAAAGAAGGAGAAAGCAAGGAAAACAGAAACCTTATTCCTTTTTTTTCTTTAAGCAACAACTCAGCACTACAACATCTTAAGGAATGAAGTGAATTATGAAGCAGGTTCCTGTGAGAAAACAATAGCAGCAGAAGTCTGAGGTAAAAGAGAGGTGACAAATCTTGTTTAAAAAGGAACATAAACTTAAGTAAGAAAACAAAAAAGAAGCGCATAAATACTGAGAGCAACATCACTGGTTAGCTGAAGTAATAGATAGGAAAGTAGTAAAATCTAAGAGTGGTTTTCAGTTCCCTGTTTCAGTTTTGAAGAGCAAGGACACCTGAGAATCATAGTGCACCTCTGTGTCTCCTTCAACATGGATACTCATACTTATTCCCCTCCTCCTTTTTTTTTTTTTTTTTGGTAAGAAAAGCTTGTTGGTGGCTAGATTCCTCAGTGTTTTCTTTGGGTATTTTCCAAATAGTGAGTAAACTTGTTTACCTGAAGTGTTTGGAAAAGCTGACTTTATATTAGCAGCAATGTTTATTTTAGGGAAACGGCTTTTCCTAAGTGCTTGTTGGAGCAATTTACAATCTTGGCAGGTATTATGGTGAGAAAGACTGAGAAGCAAACTGGAGCTGGGCAGACTTGCTTGCTTTTTGTTGTTATTTTGAAACAAGATTTTAGAAGGCACATAAAAGTTCTTCTGGCTCTTATTTTAAAACTTTTAGGCTATTTTTTTTCTGTCTGCAGGTGATTGACTACTCTGTACCTTTTTTGTGATGTGTATGAACTACAAATGTAGCTATTGAATTTTATTTATATATCTGTTCTTTGCTTGCATGCGTATATAAATCACAATCCTGGGTTCATGTTCAAAATTGCAAGTCTATCAATTTGAAATCTTTGATTTGTATGTGAAAAATCTCATTGCAGTTGTACCTTGGAAGTCAAACAGAATCCGTTCCGGAAGTCCGTTTGACTTCCAAAACGTTTGACTTCCAAAGTGCAGCTTCTGATTGGCTGCTGGATCTTTCTGCAACCAATCAGAAGCCGCAGAAGCCCCGCCGGACGTTCTGCTTCCAAAAGAACGTTAGAAAACCGGAACACTCCCAGTTTTAGATCGTCCGGGAGCCAGAATGTTCGACTCCCAAGGCGTTTGGGAGCCGAGGTACGACTGTATATTACTGAACGTCATATCATAATGCAGGAAATTGCAATTTATATGTACTTTGAATGCCTTTGCTTTCAAACATCAAGAGGAAGAACAGTTGTTAGTCTGCTACAGCAAACACCAAGAGCTCAAAAGCTGTGAGTGGAATTCCACTCATGAAACATAATGCCCTTCACTCTCTTGTACAGAAGAGGGAGGGATGATGACCCCATTGCCTCCATCTCCCCTCCCCTCCCCCCTCCCCTGTTCCAGAGGGTTGGGTATTCACAGCAGTGCGGGAGGATGCAGGGTAGAGTGGGGATGTAGGGGGAATGGAAAAATCAGCAAGTTACCTCCCTCTTTCTTTTCATATATGCTTGTACACAACTGAAGCCTTTTGTCTGCTTATGTACTTTCTTGTGTTGTGAAACAGTATCACACACATACGGCATAACAGTGCACAAAACACTATGTTAGTGTACCCTTTCACATATTCAGTAAAGTATCATCCACATTAGGGTTAGAGCACAAATGGGGCAAAAAATTGTGTTGTCGCCAAGGCAGTTTCTGGGAGGGATTGAGGCAAATGCCCATTGGTCTGAAATTTTGGGCTCCGAAAGGTGTTTTGATGCCTGCAAATTTCATCCACTTCTGCAAAAAATGCAAACGTTTGTTAGTTTCCCTATTCTACTCATTGAGGAAACTTATTCAAGCCTTTGATAAGTGAACTAAAGGAAAGTGCTACTTGGGATTTAAACTAAAGCAACCTACTACCATTTAAGCTGGTTACAAACCTTCCCCTTCTTACAGACCTTATATGGATCTATAGGGTGATATCCAATAAACACAAGGATTTCCGTTTGTGCAATGGGAATTCTCCCTTCTACTCTCCTTGTGTGTATCCCACGCCCACCCCAAAACTGCTCCAGAGGTTGAGGTAACCCCCAAAACAGATTTGGGGAGAAGAGTGGGGAAAGTTCTGTTGTACAAGAAAAACACATTCACTGATGAAATGAGTAAATTGGATACTGCCTATAATAAATCAAAAACAAATAAACCAATAAACCAATAAACCAATTCTTGTATTTTTATAGAAAGTTTAAATGTTAATTTTGAAAAGACTGTGTTTTCAGAATCACCATATAAGAATCGCACTTTGCAAATCTAAAATGGAATGTATAAGCAATATCGTCTCTACTCTTGCAGAAAAGGGCTGCTGGTATTATGATTTGTGGTTTCTTTCTCAGGAATTTCAGTTAGCACCTCAGACAACATTGTTTTCCCCTTATTGTACTGATTCAAACTAACCAAAGAATGCTTACATACTACTTGTCACTGAAACAAATTCTCAATTTTATTCATTTTCAGTTTCCTGAATGTGGCTTTTATGGAATGTATGATAAAATTCTACTTTTTCGCCATGACCCTACCACTGAAAATATTCTCCAGTTGGTGAAGTCAGCTACTGATATCCAAGAAGGTGACCTTGTTGAAGTTGTCTTATCTGGTAAAAATAATATTTTTATGCTTTATACTTTATGTATTTTATAATTGCTTCAGTGTGGGAATCGGTAACCGTCCCGCTTAATTTGGTAATAGTTCTGACCACCAAGCCTGTCTCCTGACTCCACCAGCAGTTTGTCAGATTTTTTTTAGAACTTAAGAACAAAGAATAACTCTGGATCAAGCCAGTCCAGTATCCTGTTTCCAACTTCCAGGAACCCAACAAGGTTACCTTGTTTTAAACAGCAGGCAAAAGCCTTCCTTTTTACCTGGGCCTTTGGCCCTTAGTTTGAAGGGTTTTTAAGTATTCACAGCTTCTTTTGGCATGACATGTCTTTATTTGTGCAGATGATGTGGTGTTAAGGTTTTTATTGATTGTGTTTATTGTAATTGGTTTTAGTATCTCTACTGTGATTGTAAGTCACATGGAGTTATTTTTAATTAGTAAAGCAATTGATAAATGTTATTAATCATCATAATCATCAAAAGAATCTTCACTTCTTTTAGAAAACAATAGCCAGTCAAGTTAGAGTGATAAAAAGGTTAGGCAGACATGCCTCTTTATTTACCCTGTAAATTGCCTTCACAATGTATCAGGGGTCAGCAAACTTTTTCAGCAGGGGGCCGGTCCACTGTCCCTCAGACCTTGTGGGGGGCCAGACTATTTTTTTGGGGGGGGGCGGGGGCGGAATGAACGAATTCCTATGCTCCACAAATAACCCAGAGATGCATTTTAAATAAAAGCCCACATTCTACTCATGTAAAAACACATTGATTCCTGGACTTTCCGCAGGCTGGATTTAGAAGGTGATTGGGCTGCATCCGGCCCCCAGGCCTTAGTTTGCCAACCCATGCAACGTATCATTGATTTGTAGGCACCATAAGCATGTAAAACAAAGTACTATACTGTATTTTCCCGTGTATTGGACGAGGTTTTTAAACTCAAAAACAACGTCAAAAAACTGGGGTCGTTGAATACATGGATAGTGGCATGGGGGGGGGGAGCGGTGCTCTGCCAGCCAGTTCGTTGGCGGGAATGCGGCTTCCCCCAATGCTGCAGCGAGTGGGGAGCGATCTGGGGGGTGTTTCCTGCTTGCAGCTGTGTGTGTGTGTGGGGGGAGAAGCTGCACACCTCTAGCCAGCTCGTTGGCAGGAGTGCAACCTCCCCCGATGCTGATGCATGTGGCGGGTGCTCCCTGGGTCATTTCCCACATGCAGCGGTGGCGGCGGCATCGGGGGAGGTTGCACTCCCATGGGACTGCAAATTCCCCCGATGCCGCTGCACGGAGCGGGCACTCCCTGGATTATTTCCCCTGCACGGCGGCATGAGAGGAAGTTGCGTCGGATGGCTGGCGGGAGCTCAACTTCCCTCAATGCCACTGCGTGTGGGAAATGATTTAGGGAGTGTTTCCTGCCCCCAGCTGCATGGGGGGGGGGAGAGAGGAACAACAACTTTGGGCCATCTCCCATCATTTCCTAAAATTGAGTCCTAAAATTGTGTGTGTGGGGGGGGGTTATGGACAGAAAAGTATGGTATATATTTAGGGCCCATCCATGCTATACATTTAAAGCAGTCTGTGGCGGACCCTCAGATCTCAAATTTGAGTGGCACTCTGTGCGACAGCAAGATTTGGCGCCCCCTGCTTCTCAACACTCCATTCTAATAATAGTTGCAACATCCCCTGTGGCACTCCCAAGGTTCCCTGCCCCTCAATCCACCTCTGAGGTAGTATTATATCACTTTAAACAGACTTGGCTTCCCCCAATCATCCTCGGAACTGTAGTTTGTTAAGTGTACTGAGATTTGTTAGGAAACACCTTTTCCCCTCAGAGCTACAATTCCTGAGGAGGGATTGATGGCTAAACCACTCTAGGAATTGTGGCTCTGTGAGTGGAATAGGGATCTCGTAAGAACTCTCAGCACTATTAACAAACTACAGTGTATAGGATTATTTGGGGAAAGCCGCCACTGTTTAAAGTGGTATGATACTGCTCTAGATGTATACTGTAGATGGGGCTTTTCCCTCTTTTTTAGGTAAAGAGTTGAAGATAAAGAAAGAAAATAGAGATTTCAGACGTTAACATTTGTAAGTTCTCTAAATCTTACTGAATCTAAACTTTATTGAAATAGGAAATTCCATTGAGTTGACCTGCAGAAATAAAATCATACTTGATAACCTTGCAAACCAAGTTGCAATATATAAGATACTGTAACATTCTCTTAGAGTTACAAGAAGGTCAACTGCCAGGCATTTGCTAAAGGATCACAAACTTTAAGCACATGGCTTGGAAACATCAAATCCAAACTTTCCTTTTGTTCAGTTATAGCAAATTTATCCTTTTTGTTCCAAGAAATGGCTTGTTCCTTTGGCAATATGCTGCCTGTCCTGTTTCTTTTACCATATTGCCACAATACATAAAGATTTCTATTTGGCACATGGGTATTTCTCCTTTGACATGCAGACAAGATTTTTTCATTCTACTGAAATTACAAAAGCAGCTGTATGATGATGATGATGGTGATGATTTAAATGTGCCTGCACAGTCCTGTACAAATATAAAGGCGGACTGCTTACCAACAGCAGAGGGAAGTATAAGGACTTTATTGTACGTTCATTATACAGTAGACTAGATTTTATGTTCATCATTCTTTAGGAATGCCAAATTTTGTCAGAATGACAAAAATATTGACTTTTTTGTACTCTAATTATTAGTGGATCCTGATGTAATAAGAGGGTTTTTACTGACCTGGTTCACACATAACACTAAACCATGGTTGGTTATACATTACATATTGGCTTAACTATGGTTTGTTTACTGCCCACTAACCACAAGCTAAAACCATTGTTTGTTGTTGGCTTATAAACCTTGGTTGGTTTTAGATATGACTTTCACCAAACTATGAAGGCATGAGTCAAGAGCAATGGGGGGAGAGAGAAACAACCCTAAATGCTGGAGAAACAAAACATGGTTTGTTTGTCTGTGGGATAGTTCGTAGTGTGTTCAACAAACTATAGCTTCAGCCAACTTAGTGTTATGTATTTGGCTACGCAAAATTATTTACTAGCACAAATGCAACAAAGCGTCTTCTTTAATCATGCATACTCCTTCCCTGGTTCTTCTCCAGTCCAGAATAAATTTCCCCTCTCTGTCACAGCTATCATTAAGTATTACTTGGACATCAATGTCAGCAAATGTTGGCCTTAACCTCCCACTTGAGATGAGTGTTCGGACACCCCCCCATACACTGCTGGCACCCCTCCAGGCCTATGGATGGGTATGCTGGCTGTAAATTTGGCAGCCATGTGAAGTGGCCCTATGTATGTGCATGTTTAGGGCTCCTTCGTGATGGAAGAGGAATCCTGGGAGAACCAGGGTTTTACCTCACATGGAAAAGCCTTTCTCAACTTTTTTGTGTATAGCCTTTTCAAGGGGTGGGAAGTGTGACTAGCTGGCACTATCTCTTCACACATCAAAAGAACATACCAGGGAGTTCAAGTGATCTCACATGTTACCTACTGTTGTCTTACCACAATGGTTGTGAGTTGTGTAGGGACTTAGTGAAATGCCAAGAAGTGCCTCCTTATCCCCTACATAACTCAAACTCTTTGTAGTAGCACAATGAGAAGGGTCCTGCTAGCTGACTTCAAGGTCTGGGCTTGCTCATAAGCATAGAAACATTCCAATAGATATCTAAGTATCATGTTTTTCAAGGCTTTATATCTTATCAACAACCCATTTGTGCCAGGTAACATACAGTCAGTCAGCCTCCAATGACGGAGATGGATCATTGTAAATTTACCAAATACTACAGGTGGAGTTGTTGGGATGCGGATGGCGCTGTGGGTTAAACCGCAGAGCTTAGGGCTTGCCGATCAGAAGGTCGGCGGTTCGAATCCCCATGATGGGGTGAGCTCCCGTTGCTCGGTCCCTGCTCCTGCCAACCTAGCAGTTTGAAAGCACATCAAAGTGCAAGTAGATAAATAGGTACCGCTCCGGCGGGAAGATAAATGGCGTTTCCGTGTGCTGCTCTGGTTCGCCAGAAGTGGCTTAGTCATGCTGGCCACATGACCCCGGAAGCTGTACGCCGGCTCCCTCGGCCAATAAAGCGAGATGAGTGCCACAACCCCAGAGTCGGTCACGACTAGACCTAATGGTCAGGGGTCCCTTTACCTTTTTTACAGGTGGAGTCACTTACAATTAGAGTTCTGAGAGTCCTGGGCTACGTGTTTAGTTATTGGTGTTAGTCTAGTTTCCCTTCTCTCTCTTTCTCTTCTCTCTCTGTTATTCCCTTTGCTGAAATTTAAATTGTAAGTTTCTTGGGGCAGGGATCAGCCCTTTTCTTTTGCTAACTCCGAAACATGCCATATGTGATGATAACAGTACATAAGTAAACAAATCTCAAATATTTTATGATGCAGCAGAGAGAGAAAATCAAAATCTAAATGAGAAAGAAAAGTTGTTTTCTTTTAAATGCTCACTTTCTTAATGTAAAGATTTTTACCTTTTGCATTTGCTTCCAAATATCTATTATGTATAAGTTGTACATCTTAAATTTGTCAGGTTCCACAGTCATTTTTTTTAGGAGTAAACAAAAAGCACAATAAATAAATTTTACTGAAGCTGGATTGGAAGTCATCTGTTTCCTCACACATTTCAGGTCTTTTTGGTTCAGAAAAAGAACAGTGCCTCTAAAATAATGTACTATAGATTTGAATAGGCAGTCATTTTGAGGTGATCTGTCTTCTCTGGCATGTAAAATTACAGGGTTCTTATGTAATGAAAAAGTAATATGCTTGGAAGAGTTTTCACAAGTTTCTTATGTGAAACACTAATAGATTAAAACTTACATTAAAAAACTAGGTTGACACTGTGCCTGCCAGCCAAATTCATAGCATAATTTCATCAAAAGAAATGAAAACTATTATAGTATGATTTTACCGAAAATATTAAATTTTATACCACGACTGATACAACAATAAGATTGTCCAAATTTTGTCCTTGAAGGCACATGGAAATCATTGCATATTGCTTTAGTATAATCAGAGAGAAAATGGGATTTTTAATACAGTTTTTTTTCTTTAGAAGGGAAGCTAGCGAGATGTTATTGAGCTTTCACACAGAATTTCATGAGGTGTTTTTTTCACCCATTGATAGCAAATGTAATTGAGTTTTATTTAAGTTCTTTTCTATATCTGAATGCCACATTGGATCATATGAAAGAACACTGCCCTAATACATGCCTTGATAGTAAGTAGAAATACGGAATTGTTCAAGGTGTAGTTACCTAATGAGCAAAGTTGATTTATGATATGAGAACATGAAGTGAAAAATAATATCCGGTGGCCTTTTGGAGTTAGCAAGAAATTTCCTTATCAACTGCTTCTGTGAATCAAGCTGCTAGATATACTTGTAGTTTCATATTTGAAGATCCCTCTCCTATTTCAACAGCTCTGTTAGCAACATGGGGCTCCCTTATGCTGTTTCATAGTATCTAAAAGAAAAACTATTATTTTAAAAGAAAAATGCTTCTTCTGTACATTCCTAGGAATGTAGCAGTAATTACGACAATTGATGGAGGAAATGTGAAATTAAGCATAAAATTCACATTCTGACTCAAAGGGGAGAAGTTTTGCCTTTCTTTGCAAGATGCATGTGTTTTTTTTTAAGAGAACAAAAACCAGCCATTTTGAATGAAAATAATTCCATACATATAGTTCTGTGAGTCATATTTGTGTCAAGCTTCTATGAATCAGTGTAAAGTCAGACTGGTAGATAATTGTATGATGTCATTTTTTCTGGTTAAAAATGATTTGAAAAGATTGTTTTATGGAAAAATATAAAATTTGCATCATAAGTTAAAAGAAAAAATATTTTGTCTTTTGGAGTATCATGAGATGAGTTGATTTTTTTTCTTGTTAACCACTTAGAAGTTTTACTGCAGTATAGTTTTGTGTGCACGCACACACATATAAATTTAGAAGAGTAACTTTTGTCTTCATCTTTGAGTTTCATTCAACTGAAACTTCTTAATATATATCTGTTGAGTTCTAACAACTCCCAAGCTTTTTGGAGAGAGGTGGTCTTGTTGACTTTGCCTGTCAACTTCCTTTTTACCAACCCCCCCAGATTTTTGAAAAGTTTCCTCTTTTGAAGTAAATGTGATTGTATTGGGCATAAAGTGGAACAGAGCTATCATCCACCTAGTCAAAACACTCAGGGAGATCTTGGGATGAAGAGTGAAATCAAGGAAGCATTCCAAAGAGGAAATGTTGTAATAATAAGGGGTGACACAGATTGGCTACAAAAAAGGAAAATTTCTAGATCCTCTGAATGATTGTGCCCTAGAAAAATTGGTCATGAAACCAACCAGTGGGACAGCAATTCTGGACTTAAATAATGGATGGCCCCCAGGACCTGGCGTGAGATGAACCAATTGGGAACAGTGACCATAGTGCTATTAAATTAAATATACATGGAAACAGCAAATTGCTCAGAAAGTCCATTATAACAGCGGTGTCATTTAAGACTAAAGCATTTCAGTCTGCCCAGCTTGGCTCAGAGGCTTCTAGAATTAGCATAGATCAGGGAACCTTTCACCCACCTCATTACCAGCTGTTAAGCAGGCTTATTGGAGCTGTTGGGAGTTGTAGTTCAGCAACATCTGGAGGGCCAAAGGTTCCACACACCACCATTAGTGCATAAAAACGTATATACAGTGTCTCTCTTCATGACATTTGCTTTTTTGGACTTCGTTTTGGCATCTCTGAATTACTGTCCTGTGCTCCTGCACTCACAACCCCAACTCTACTCCCCCCCTGTTGACCCCCCCCCAATTTTGTTTCAGCTTCACCCCAGCTCCTGTCAGCTTTCACCTCACAATCTTATTAAAACTTATTAAAGGGTTTTCGAAGAGCTGCTAGAGTACTTGAATTCGCGTGATGCCCTTCCGATGTTGTTGGGCTCCAGTTCCCATCATCCCCAATCAGCAAGGCCAAAAGTTAGGGATGATAGGAGCTGTGGGCCAGCATCTGGGGGTGGGGGGCAGCAGTCTGGCAATTCATGACACCATTGTATAGCCCAGGAACATATGACTCAGTATGTCTTGCTGTTTGCCTTTTTCATGCCTTTTGAAACAGAACAATGGACTAGGAATTGACCAAACCACAGAGAAACAAGAATAAACATGGTGGGTGTATTTTATTTGGCAAGTTTGCATTTGAAAATATTTTAATCCAAGACTAAGAGGCTAGATATATAGGAAGAAGGGATAATATATTTAATGTTTCGCAGTTACTTTGTAAAACTAGTACAATGGTACCTCAGGTTAAGAACTTAATTTGTTCTGGAGGTCCGTTCTTAACCTGAAACTATTCTTAACCTGAGGTACCACTTTAGCTAATGAGGCCTCCCACTGCTGCTGCGCAGCCGCCACGTGATTTCTGTTCTCATCCTGAAGCAAAGTTCTTAACCCGAGGTACTATTTCTTTTTTTTAAGAATAATTTTTTATTAACCGACCAATCGCATCAAATCAAACCAAATTACATAAATGCCAAATTTTAAATTTTTGTTGGGGGTACCCATATTTCAAGTTCTGAAGGGGGTCCAATCAACTTCTTGCTTCTTACTGCTGTTTTAATGTCCACAAATCTAACCTTATGATGTTCACAGTACTATCCAGTCCTTTCTTCTTGTTTTTCCACATCTCTTGTTGTTATTTTCATATATTTTTCCTTTCTCTTTGTGACCTCTGATAGTCTCCACAAGCTGGTTAGACAGTTTGTAATCCTGCGTGGATATTTTTTTTTTAAATCCAGTAGCCATATCCAGACGTTTTCCATGTAACATCACTTCCATACATCAAAACAGTCTTAGTGTCATTAATCTTCACCAATCTGTCTCCTTTCTCAAAACCTCTGAGGAGATGCAGGAATGCAGTCTGAAAACAAGTCCGTTCCTTCTCTCGGCTATAAATCCTTTGGCAAGATGGCGACTCCGAATTAATTGCTGCGCCATTCCAAAAGCTCTTATTGCTTCTCGATCTCCATAAAGCATACTTTTGGTTAAAGTTTATCTCCACACAGACCTTAATCATCCTGCTTGGGTCAGTTCAACCGACGATTCTAATAAGGAGGGGTTCGTGTAAATCACATAGAAGGAAAGTAAAAAAAGGTGTCCCCCCCCATTCAGTCCCGTTGTCAACATACCCAGCCTTTGGTGTATCGTCATCGTAAAATATTCCTGTTTCTCCAACCCGTCGTCTTTCACAGAGGTCACTTAAATTAGCAGACTTGACTCCCCTTCTTCACTTGAAATATGTGCATTTGCTTCTTTTGTAATTAATTATTCCAAATTGCTGCAGCTAGTGCGCGATCAGAGACAGTGTCCAGGAGAGCCGAGGTCCACACGGGGGCATTCTGCCTAGGGCCCTCACCCCCTTCTTTCGAATTAGGGGGTGATTTATGGGCACAGCAGGCAAGGGCAGTGTTCCCCATTTCCTTGGGGCAACAAGGGAGGCTGCCTACTCCCATAAACAGCCTCTTAATTACCCCGTGTGGGTCGGAGAGATGGTATTGTCGGCCATCTTCCAATGCGCCCCCTAGTGCCCCCCCGAGGTACTATTTCTGGGTTAGCAGAGTCTGTAACCTGAAGCATCTGTAACCTGAGGTACCACTGTACTGGGATAAATTGAGGTAATTTGAATGTAAGGACATAGTAGGGCACATAGTAAAACAGAGTGCAGGATTCAGTCATAGGCAATCAGTTTTAAGTTCAACTAATGTCAATGAAAGATATTTCTGCTATTGTTATGAATGGGGAATAAATGTGCTTTATTTACAGTACAATTCTACAATGCCTACTCAGAAGGTAATTCCATTGCATTCAATGAATTTTACTTCCAAGTATGTAGGTACAGTATAGGACTTCAGCCACTGGACTATTCCTCTAATTCAAAATCATCTGCAGATGCCTTTCACCCATAGTTTGTTACATTTCTATTTTAAAAGTTCATTTTAAATTATCAAAGAACAATTTGCATTGTTCTTTGCATTGTGTATTGCAAATTAAATAAGCCTGGTCCCCCTTATGTAAATGGCTTCTGTGTGATTCCTCTGGGCTATCCTTGGGTTCAGAGATCAGGTGGTGGCATGCATTATATGAACTAATACTTGACTGATAATTTTCCACCGCAGTTTCTCTCATTGCCACCTCTCCTTTTGAAGCCATTGTGAGATGGAAATCACAGTGTAAGTATATTTGCAGAGTACAGATTCCTGTACACTTCAAAGAGACTGTGTTGGTATCATTTATTTCCCTGAAGAGAAACTCCAGAAACTTAGGTTTATGAACATCAGTGGTGCTGAATTTCTAGAAGGAAAGCTGTCGGAGATCATACCTTCCTAACAAATACAATTTAAGGACAGGAAGCCTCTTCCTGCCTCAATCCTACTTTTGTACTGGCTTTGGCTGTTGATTGCTTTGGGAGAAGTGTTTGTATGACCTAAAAGGCACTCATATTGTTTTTTCATATGCTTCGGGGCTCAAAAAATGTTCTGTATTGAAGCCTTCTTGAATCCTGGCTCATAATAACCTCTGGCCAGTGAGTTAAATTATGGAACAGGAGATTTGTAAAAAGCTTTAATCTTCTCACATCAAGTCTATTCGATTTTTTTTTTTTAATGTTTTGAGTTTAGGTTCTGTGTGTATGCTGTGTTTTCACATATTCCATAAATGTTCACAAGCGCTGTTTTTATGTAAAGGGTTGTGAGCTGTGCTGACCTCATAATTAATCTGCAGAGAAACTAGCTGGATAAGTTTACAGTTTTAATAGGAGAGGTGCCAAGTATTTCATTGCTAGCTGACTTGTAGCCGAAGACTGCAGACTAGGAAGTGATTGTTGTAGAAGTCAGTACTGAAAAAAACAGATTCAAGAATCCATAAGTTCCAAATGGAAAGGGTTTAAGACGACTCAATAATGAGATCATTAAGGTAGTTGAATAAGAGTGGTTTCCATGAATTCCAAGCATTTTATCCAGTGGTGTTCTTTACTGATGAAAGGCTGCTTGATCCGTCAGGACTTCCATTAGCAGAAAGAGTGGAGGTACTTTTTGCTGAAGCCCCTTTCCTTTGCAGCTACATCGTCCATCTTTTTAATCTGCTCCAGTGGTTTGAGGAACTCACTGGAACAGCATTGTAGGTAGCACAGCAGACTTCAGGAAAAGGGGGAGATACGTAAGGGTCAGCTTCGCACCCTCCTTTTGACTAACAGAAGCCTCCACTGGATCAGATAGCTTGCACGCAGCAGAGCAACATTATTTGATGTGACCCAGTAGAAAAGGAAAAAGGAACACAGTTGCTTGAGTAGCTTGAAAGAGTTACACTAACTAAAGCATTCTTCTTTTTGTTTAGTTTGCGTAAGAATCTGAACACAAGCTGCTCTGAAAGGGACCCTGTCTATCAAAACAAATGGGAGCTGTGTATCAGAGAGACAGAATGTTAATATAATTTATTCTTTTAAAATATAACAAAATGCATTGCTTCCTTCTGACTTCAGAACATGATTCAAGATGCTGATTTTGACCCATCAAGCCCTCAGTAGTGTGGCACCTGTGTGGCACAGAGAGAGCATTTTCTCCTTTGTTCCATCATGACCTAATAATCAAAACAGAATGGTGTCTTCACTGTCTGAACACAAAAGAAGAAGGCTATGCACACATTACTATTTACTCTATACCCACTAAGCACCCACCGCTGGTTTTTGAAGCAATATGCACATGACATTAGCCACTGTATTCTGTAGTTCCATGAGAAATATTTAATTGTATTTTTTCCTCAGTTTCATCTGAATTGAAAACTTAGGGCATGTTCACTTTGTAGTTAAACTGAGGTGTGTACACTTGAGACAGCTGCGGTGTGCATGTGGACAACTGTGTATACACAGGTGACAACTTCACAAATAGTTAAGAGGGTAAAGGTAAAGGGACCCCTGACCATTAGGTCCAGTCGTGGCCGACTCTGGGGTTGCGGCACTCATCTCGCTTTACTGGCCGAGGGAGCCGGCGTACAGCTTCCAGGTCATGTGACCAGCATGACTAAGCCGCTTCTGGCGAACCAGAGCAGCGCACGGAAACGCTATTTACCTTCCTGCCGGCGCGGCACCTATTTATCTACTTGCACTTTGACGTGCTTTTGAACTGCTAGGTTGGCAGGAGCTGGGAGAGAGCGACAGGAGCTCACCCCGTCGCGGGGATTCGAACCGCCGGCCTTCTGATCAGCAAGTCCTAGGCTCTGTGGTTTAACCCACAGCGCCACCCACGTCCCTAGTTAAGAGGGTACTTGCATCCAATACCCTTTCCTCATACTGGTGTGGACAAACTGGCTGACTTAGAAACACATCAAATCTAACTGATGTGTACAGCAGTGTGCAAATGAAATTTGAAGCGCAGCAGAAGGGGGAAATGACCTTGCTCCATTTTAAACTGGTAATAGCTAAAGAGAAAAGCATTCTAGGAGACTGTGGTGCAGTTTTGAAAATCCCTTCCTCTGGGGCACATTGCCAGAATCTGAATAATTTTTTAGAAGTGTTGTTAATTATGAGCAAGCAGGAAATAACATATATTTGATTAAGTTTTCTGTTTGTAATTCTCTTAAGCTGTTATTACTACCAACATTTAAGAAGGTACAGAAGAGAAGTTGCAGTAAATAAAACAGTACATAAGTGATTAAAGAAAAATGAATTTTCTGTTGTCAGAAATGTGTGATGATCATGATCTTAACTATTTAAATGGGATGGGGGGGGAGAGGAGTTCATGTAAGGGAGGAGAGGAAGGAAGTGTACATGTGCCAGATTGCTGGTGGTGTGCTAGCCTGCAAAGCGTTCCTTAACATTAGAGACCAGGCACTATTACATATATACCAAGTTCATGACTTGTGCTTAGCCCAGCCTTCGCCAACTTGATGTACACTTACTCTCAGACCCAGTCAGCACAGCCAAACTTGCTGGATCTTATGGGAGCTGTAGTCTGTAGTTCAAATCCTTTGGAGGGCACCAGGTTAATTTATCAGCCATAGCCTAGAAATCCCTCCTCCATTTAGCTTGTTCAGAAGATCCAACAGCATTCTTCTCTCTCTCTCTCTCTCTCTCTCTATATATATTTGTTTGCAGTGAAAATTGTTTTGGAGACGGTGGAATAGATGTTTCTTATTGCCAGGCTGAATTTTTTTAATTTTTATTTTAAACTGCACTTTTAACCCTGCAACACAGTGGTTGATCTGCTTTTCTGTACTTTATGGCACTGCATACTTTTGGAAATGTAACTTTAGCTGAAATGATACAGTTTACGTTCCACATATGCTGCAGAATTTCACTTTTACTGTCCTCTTGAAATAGCAAACCTTTGTTTTATACTTAAGTCAAACAAAGGTCTTAGAACTGAAAGCTCTTGTGCCAAAATGCCTCAGGCATTCTATTGTTTGACAAGTAAGACGCAGTGATAAAGTAAGTTGTAAGTGTAGCACTTATGACTATATGACAGTATTTCCTGATGAATAACTTTTCACATTTATACAATTTATACATTTACACACACAGACTCAGAAAGTTTTTGCAGACAGTAAATAAAGGATCACCAGCATCATGCTTGTGAGTGCAATGATCTCCTTCAAGTCTTTCCCAGGTAACCACAAAACCTTATGACTGTCCCCTTAGTCATAAGGTGACATTTTCTCTTCTGTCAAGTTTGTGGAACTGAAGGAGAATGTTGCATATGACTTTGACCCAAGTCTCTTAGAAAAATGAATTGTCTCTCTGCGTGCGGTTTCTCTCTTTCTGCCTCTTGAGAGGGGGGTCTAATTGAGAGGGGGAAATAAGTAACCAGAACAGGCGGTGCCCATGGCTCTTACTCAATGATATAATTTGATAATGGACCCAAAAAGGTTGGCAAACTCTGCAATTATGGATTTAAAAAATACAGATTGGCATCCAATTTGCATGAGCAACACAGTACATGATGCAATTTAAGGCACAGAAGGACTGCTCGTCAGTATCTTTCCCTGAATATTAATTCTTCCTATGAATGATACAGCCTTCAGTGATTGAGCCTGAAGTATCAATAGATCCTTTGTGCCAAAGTTGGATTTCTCCTAGTGGTTGGATTAGGCTTTTAGTAATGTCGTAGGGTTGGGATTGGAAATGGATGAAGTTCAATCTAGGCTGTAACTGGGGCTTCCATTGGTAACAATAGTTTGGTTTTATATAGAAGATCACATGATTGAAACCAAAGAAAATCCAGAAATCTTTTCCCAATATGTTTTTTTACTCCCTGCTATTATCAGTTTATCTGAGCTAAACCACTTGCTGAAAAAGAGTAGCTTTTTAACGTAGCAATATTAGGCACAGTTAGGCCTCCATAATCGTCGTTGTCGTCATCAGATTTCATTTTAAACTTTTGGGAAATCTTTTCTTTCACCAGCTTCTGCAACATTTGAAGACTTTCAGATTCGACCCCATGCTCTGTTTGTTCATTCGTACAGAGCACCAGCCTTTTGCGACCACTGTGGAGAAATGCTGTGGGGTCTTGTACGGCAGGGACTCAAATGTGAGGGTGAGTTAAAGATCGGCCTCTGTGCTTTTGCAAAAGAAGTCTCCAGATACGTTGCAAGTGATATAAATGCTCAAAAATTTCTGGGCAGCAACAAAGAAATCAATCAAGTTTAGACCATACAATCATAACCCCCCTCCTTGGAAAATTCTTTATGCTCTCTCTTATTTTATTATGATTAATTCAGTAATAAACCACTTTGAGGATTTACTACAATCAACTGGTATATAAATCTTGTGAAAATAAATAAATAAGTAGTACTAATTACTACTGAAGTTCATGCTCAGATTTACAATCTCATTCACTTCTATTGGAGACGTCTGCTTTTATGGGATAAAGAGGCTACAACAGGGGGTGCTGCTGAGATGGGAGGAAAATCATTAAGCTTGACTTAGGCATGCACATTCAAATGTGCATGCACATTTGTGCCCACCTAAACCTATCTATCGCCTGTCCCCATACATGCTGCATGATTCGGTAGACACAATTGTTCTTTTCCTCTTTCATGTACCATAACCAGGTCATCTCCAACTAAACCATGCTTTCAGTAGACCTACTGAAATGTAGGGAGATGCAAGAAAACGGTCTGCTGGTTGCCATCAAAAGAGTTCACAATGACACCTCCTTTTATCCCTGATCCAAATGCAAGCCAGAGCCGTCCTAAGGAAGCACTCTGAGCTGGCTCAGGAAATCAAGGGTTAGTGCCCAACTTACTGAGATACCACCTAAACTCCGCACTGTTGAATAAACTTGCTTATTCAAAAGCAGGCATTTAAGAAATCCTTTCCAAATTACTAGTTTTCATCTGTTGCTTTAGATTGACATAATCTGAAATCAGCATTATTTTTTATTCAATTTTCAGGATGTGGCCTAAACTATCACAAGAGATGTGCATTTAAGATCCCTAACAACTGCAGTTGTGTCCGGAAGAGACGGCTTTCAAATGTTTCCTTGACAGGACTTAGTAATATCAGGACAGTGTCTGCAGAACTTTCACCTACTACTACAGATGAAACTCTCCTGGTACAAAATTTATAAATATTAAACATAGCAGGTTCTATAATAATAAATGAATGACTTTTGAACACTTGATCATTACTTTTCTACAGAAAATATACATATATATTTCCAGAAATCTGCACACAGTAATATACCATGAAAAAAACACACCAGTTATTATGTGCTAGACCACTGCAACAGGGCTGGCTCAAGACTTTGTCTTGATGATATGAAGAGCAAGATGGAGGTCCCTACTCTTCTCAAATATAGAAGCTGACTGGACAGATACCGAATTCCACACAGATGGATGCCCTTATCAAACATTCCTTGTGCATAAGGAAGTTCCAGTGTGTACATGAAGCTCTCGTGTATGCATATGCTTCCTTATTCACTGATTTATATAATGGCACCATACATGTCGGCCTGACAGACACCCACACCTGGTAAAATTTTAATATAAATGTTAATGTGCAAAATATTGCATGCCATAATCAGCTAGCCTGCCACAGAAAATGAAAGCTAGATTCACTCTTAATCAGCTTTTAAAACATCTATTACTTGCGCTTATCATGCTAGACCTAGATAGATTATAGTTTGAACTATTACATTAATAAAAATAACGAGATCCCCTCCCTTATCCAAAATACAAACATTGCTCTAAATAAACTCTCATGGGGTTTAAAAAGTAATTACTTATACATTCCACATGTTTTCTTACATGTGCATCTTTCCCATGCATATTTTTTCTCAGTGCACTCCTCTCCCCAAATACATATTTTACCAACTGAAACTGTTTGAGCTTTCTTTTTCTTATGGAGTCACATTCCATATTTGAGCTGTAATATCCATTAGAACAGAGTCTGTTTATAATATGCCAACACTAAAAAGCTCCAATAAGAATTATGAGCACCCACTGTCTTAGCAAAGTCTGAAGAAGAATAAGGTTTAAAAAACCCTCTGGTGTGATTCCTGTTCTCTTAATGTGATATGTTGCTACTTAGTTGCATGCATGATTAAGTAACATAGCAACGCGGCCCCTCGATACACAGTGCCCAGTCCAATAAATAAGGTCACTACAGAAGTGTTGTCAGCATTCTTTTCATATCTTTTGGGGGTGCATAATAATTTTCAGTGAATTTCAGTGGTCTTAGCGATGGAGGTTCAGTGGTCTTAGCACTGGAGCTGCTGTTGTTGTTTAGTCATTTGGTCGTGTCCGACTCTTCATGACCCCATGGACCAGAGCACGCCAGGCACTCCTGTCTTCCACTGCCTCCCGCAGTTTGGTCAAACTCATGTTGGTAGCTTCGAGAACACTGTCCAACCATCTCGTCCTCTGTTGTCCCCTTCTCCTAGTGCCATCAATCTTTCCCAGCACCACTGGAGCTGTACCCGGGTTCAAATCCCCATTCAGGCACACACATTCATTGGGTTGGCCTTGCTATACTATTGACTCTTCCCAATCAGTTAACAGCAGGACCTGCAAGAGGAACTTGCTGACAGGAATTGCTGTGGAAAGGAGAGCGCTACATCTCAGTAGAGCAAAGGCTTTACCTGCAGAAGGCATCAGATGACCAGATACAAGAGAGAAAGGGCTTTCCTAAGCTTTAATAGTTGCATGACAATCTTCACAGGCTGCAATTTTTACTTTTTTCTCTTCTACACAACTATTAAAGCTGTAGGAGCTCTGTCTACCCTTTGCATCTGGTCACACCATGAAGGCTCTAGGTTCATTCCCTGGCAACTCTGGATAGCAGGATTGTAAAATACCCCCTTTTCTCTGATGCCTTAGAGAGTCATTGGTCATCAAAAGTAGGCTATAGGCTACTAGGGTAGATGAGAAAATTAGTGGACTTGCTTTATCTCCGTATGGAGATAAAGATAAAATCTTATAAAGCACACTGCACTTCAAAAGTGAGATGTAAGAATAATAAAAAACAATTATAATAATTAATACACAGAGAACTAAAGAGCTGTGGGGCAAGCACAGGGGCTTAAGGACACTTACTAGGATTTTGTCATCTTCTTAAGCAGCAGGGTCACAATCTGCCTTTAAATATTTCCTCCATGTCCAAAATGACTTACTACTGTGACAAATCAGAAGCTCACTGTCCTCAACACATGGAAGTACCTGCAATGTTCCTTGGACATTTCCAACAATAGTTGGGATTTATCACTGGGATGTAGTGTTTGAAGAAGAAGAAATTTCACTAGACAATCTCAAGCTCTTTGGCTTGGTCAAAGGGGCTGACACATTTACACAACACAAATTGCTGTCTTTCACTACAGGACTTACAACAGATTTATTGGCAATTCAAGTGGCAGTAAGGCCATAACCTAAATAAGAATGTGCAAACATTTGCATTGGCACCTTTGAAGAGTTCAGAAAGTCCCGTTGTAAGACATATTTTGAGAGATTGTGCCAGCATAGCTCTTGGGGCACTTCATACAAAGTGCTTTTGTTCTGATGCAGGAAATCTTAAGTGTGGGTGAGACATTACTTTCTCACATGTCTTTCTCATGTGATACGTGGCAAGAAAACAACGGGGGAAAATGATTCTTGCTTTAAAATTGTGCATTTAAATGTATATTCAAAACATTCTATCTGTGTTGTGAATACCAGTCAAGTATTATTAATTGAAGTTCTATTATTTGAAAATTTTCAGTTGATTCCACAAAGGCAAGGACACCCAAGAATGGCAACCTGCCTTTATCAGTGTATCATGGTAGCACCTGATAACACCTGATAAAGACAGGAGTGACTCTGGGATAATATTTGACAAGTCCATTTGCAAATATTTTTTAAAGCTTCAGGACAGATTTCATTTTAGGACAAGCTCAGTCTTCTAAGATAAGTTTAGAGGCAAACTTCATCTAGACAAAAACAATAAAACTAGATATTATTTACTTACAGTTAAATAAATGTGTAATCCTATGCATGTCTGCTCAGAAGTAATTTCTGTTGAGTTCAATGGGACTTATTTCCATGTAATTTTGTACAGATTTGTAGCTTTTGATCATATAAAAAATGCCTATCTATATCTCCTAGATATGCCACCATCCAAACACAAGAAGGGAAGTATCAGTAGGTTTGAAGAAGTACACAAATTAGTAGTGGGGGTGGGAAGACTATAGCTCCTAGTTGGAATAGGGGCATTCCATACTTCAACGTTTTGCAGGTCCCATTTGTTGGAAGTACATACAAATAACAGTGGGATTAATCATCTTTTTTTGTAATCCAAAGGTTCTATACATTTTGTTTTTTACAATTTTTGAAAGTTGTTTTCATTACTAAATAGTCTAACCCTCTGAATCTTATTTGAAGCCCCAAAGGCAACATAGAAATATTTAAAATAAGCAAACAAATATAATAGAAGTTTGAACAAATAATGGTGTTGGTAGATAAATGCAGGCTGGTTAAACTTTTTTGTTTTTATTTGAAGAATTGAACTTTATATTTGCTTCCCAAATAACATGGCTTTATGTTTTGTTTTTCTCTGTTTGTTTTGACTGTGGTCTTCCTTATCTAGATTCCTACAAGCCCTAGCTTTGAGGTATGTACTTCTTTTATACTCCTAATATGGCTAAATGGTAAATGCTTAGCAATTCAAATTTTGCAGTGAATTAATTTCATAATGAAAATAGCGCTGTGCCACATTTCTTTCATTTGGAAATGTGGTCATACTTTTCATGTATTTTGATCTTAAAATGTATTTTCAACCCCAAAATGAGAAGTTCAGACGCTCTTTTGTAGTTCAGTCTTGGGTGATCTCCAACTAACCCGTTCTCAGAGTTGACTCACTGAAATCATAGGAACACAAGAAGTCTGACCATTGGACTATTCTAGTTCATTAGCATCCACACTCACTGGCAATGGCTCAAGCTTGGCTGTAAAGGATAAAATATTCCTTTGCAGGCACATCTTGAATTCAAACCATACCGGTAAAAGAACTCTGTGGGTTTTGAAGTCACTTCAATACCCGCTTTCAGCAGAGATCAGCTATCTCTCAGGAGTTTAACTGTTCACAAAAGGGCTTGAAGTTACCACTGCTCAGTTGCCTGGGTCCATAAAAACCCTCAAGCTACATAGATATGTACATGTGGTTGGTGCTTTTTTTCAAACAGCAGCTCTGAACCATTTGCCCAACCATATGTGAAGCTGGGGCAGGGGCAAGCAATTACCTCCTTTGCCTGTACAGTGGTACCTCGGGTTAAGTACTTAATTCATTCCGGAGGTCCGTTCTTAACCTGAAATTGTTCTTAACCTGAAGCACCACTTTAGCTAATGGGGCCTCCTGCTGCCGCTGCACGATTTCTGTTCTCATCCTGAAGCAAAGTTCTTAACCCAAAGTACTATTTCTGGGTTAGTAGAGTCTGTAACCTGAAGCGTATGTAACCTAAAGCGTATGTAACCTGAGGTACCACTGTATAAGTCATATGTTCAGTCTATGACATCTCCAGTTAGAAAAGACATTGGAGCGCTCCTGCTATATGTTTGTATGATGTGTGTGTGTGTGTGTCTGTGTCTGTGGGTTGGCTGTTTTTTATAAGTAAAACCCACAGAAGGCTGCTTAAAATAAAATAAAAATAATTTCCAACAATAATAAAGTAGTATACAATTAAAGGCTCCTGCAAAGCTCACAACTTTAATGAAACCACTGATAATAAATAACCAAAAACAAAAACAGCATTTTCAACTAACCCAAGAAGTTCAATAGTAGCACAGAACATCGCTCCCAAATAAGCCAGCAAAAATAAATAGGTGATAGCTTCACGGAGGTCAAGTGGCAGTGAATTCCTATGATGTGGGGCCACCACTGATAACTCCCTCTTGTGCCTACCAATTTCACTGGTCTTAGTAGTGGACAAGTGGCTCCGTCGTGATCTTATGGTATGTGTGTAGGCAGTCCTTCAAACAGCTCTGACTCAAGTTTTTAAAGGTAGTATTTTAAAAATATTAATATTTTAATAGACGTCATAAAATTTTCTCTCCAGGCATATTCCAGGCTTGTAAGTCCTAAATGAACCAAGTAAAAGTGAGAACAGACAAGCCATTGTTGCTGTTTAGCAGCTGTCACTCTCTTATTTCAATCAATATTTCAATTCATCCACAAAGACCTTGCTGTTGTCATGTAGAAGCAGATGCCATTGCTTTAGATGCATTGTAGCTTCTGTTAGCCTACCCAGATCTCTTTAGCTACCTTTTTAATTTTGTTGTTAAAAAAGGACACAAAGCTGAAACCTCTTTTAAAATTTGATTTTCTCCTAAATTGTACCGAAGGCAACGCACCTTGCTTATTTTTAATCACGTAAGTACAATACAGCCTGCCTAATAATATTTTTATTGCTTGGGTTGAATCAGCTTTACTGAAACAGCTGGGCAGCTGTCCAATTAAATATCTGCACATGTGAAACCTTCTTAGGATTTGCAGAAGGTGCTTGAAATACAGTGCTGTCCAGTCTAAAAGCAATATACTTGTTGAGAAATAATTGTACTGATTTGCTTAGTGCCTGGAGGGGTTGCTGGCTTCTGTAGTTTCCATAATGTAATCTAGTTAAGCAATTGTTTCCTGGTAAGTGTCCAGGCTTCCTGAGTCAGGAATCTGGCTGGCTACCCGGGAAAAAAAAATATTCACATCTCTCTTTAACTAACCACCAACACATTGGATAAAGAAGTATGAGTCCAGAGCAGTAGATCTTACTTTTAGCAGGCATTTTTACAATTTGTATTTTCTGAGAAAAGCCTTAGCTCTTGCCCTACATTGTTAGAATCATAGAACTGTAGAGTTGGAAGGAACCCCAAGGGTCATCTAGTCCAACCCCCTGCAAAGCAGAAATGTCAACTAAAGCATCCATGACAGATGATCATCCAACCTCTATTTAAAAACCTCCAAGGAAAGAGAATCCACAAAACTCCATCCAGTGACAAAGGTGGTATTTTGTAGCTGTCACCCAGCTTAAAAAAAGACTTAGCTTATTGTGTTTCTAACTGATTTATTACTTACTGAATTAATGCATAAATTTGCATGTGTTAAGTTCTGAAGAGGAAAAAGCATATCTCATTTTAAAGTATACTGAGTCCATTCTGGGGAAGAAATGCAATGCAAAAATAGCAACTGTGCACCTAGTCCTTCAGCAATGCCCAAGACTTTCCCATGCCCTGACATTTCTTGGTAACACACTTCCCTGAAGTTTGATTATCACAATGAAAGCTGCCATGGAAGGCGTGGGAGTGGAGTGGACAAGCCCATGCAATGGCTAGATAGATAAAGATATAGATAAAACACACATGCACACATATGCACACACACACAGCCAAATTTGAATGTACAAGGTATATATTTGTTAAAAACAGTGTCTGCTATAATGACTTTTTAAACATCTGCCTCCATATATGCACATTCTAGCAAAAATCACCTCCGGAGTCTTTTGGGAGAGAGAAGAGATCCAATTCACAGTCATACATTGGGCGACCTATTCAACTTGACAAGATTTTGCTTTCCAAGGTTAAAGTGCCTCATACGTTTGTGATCCATTCATATACACGGCCAACGGTCTGTCAGTATTGTAAGAAGCTACTCAAGGGACTTTTTAGACAGGGATTGCAATGCAAAGGTAAGTGTATTTAAGAACTCAGAGGAGCTCTGTCATATGCTTCCAAGAATTTCAGTTATGTATTTATAAAAGTTCATATGTGTGTTTTTGTTTTGCTGCTGCTACTTATGGGGTGGGATCCAGAGATAAGTGCACGCTGAAGTTGCCTCTGCCTAATCTTGAGGGATCCCCTTTCCCCATGCTAAGTCATCACATGCAACAAGGACCCTGACCTATGGCAAGGATGGGAGGCTGCTGAGGGTGGAAGGAAGGATGAGAAAGTCCATTTCTGCCAGTTCCCTTCTGTGCTCTTCAGAAGAGCTGTGTGGGACATGGAAGCATTAGACCACAACTTCTGGAAACCCTACTGTATCAATTATGACTTTAGAAATTTCACCATATATTGACCACAGACTCATCTGACATTGACTATAGCCATAGGAGGTAGAAAACAAGAATGGCTTTTGTTTTTTTAATGAAAACATGAAGTTTTGAGCATTCATGCAGAATGGTGGATTGCACACAGCTTTGATAATACCACTCTCATCATTAGTGGGCGTGACCTTTGGCAATCAAATCAGCTGCCAAAGTAAGGCTTCGGTTCATTGACCCTTGAAGATAAGACAGAAATATACAGAAATATGCAAGGCTTCCATATACCTTCCTGGACCAAAACCTCCTAAGGAAAAGATGCTCTTCCTGAGAACCTTATTTACACAACATTCTGCTTTTTCTGTTTATATATAATCTGTGAGTAATGTGATTCTGCAGGGGTGCAGAAAAAGCACAGTATGTGGAATTTGGCATAGAATGCAGCTCAAAATTTCAGCTTTAAGCTGTAAACAAACCCTCCATATTTTTTGGCCTTTATATCTGCAAAAATATGCTTGAAACTGAATGTGCAATGCCTATTGAGATCTCAGTAGTGGGCAGGCAGCTGCAGGCTCAGTAATAAAACCAGTGACTACTTGTCCCTTACCATAGCCAGGTAACCCGGATAAAGTACAGAAAGCATCTTCTAAGGACCTCTTTTTTTCCCAAGGCTTTCCTAGACTCCCTAAGATTGGATGCTTTTATAATATCTGCTATTATGTGGCTTTTGTAATACTGTTTTGCTGGTATTTATGTTGTATTTCTGTTTTTATGATACTCTTTTTTATTGCTTTTCTTTTGCATTTTTAGATACTGCTCAGAGGTATTTAAATGTTGAATCATGTAGAAATACTTTCAATTAAATGAATAAAAAGATGCAGATCACAGAGTTCAGATTTTTTGTGCAGATTTTTTACCCCTCTGGAGGTATAGATGACATTTTTGTTAAAATATGGCATTGTTTTTTTTAAAAAAGTATTCAAATAAACATCCTGATGACTGTCACCCTCCAACTACTTACCGTATATAGATTTATGGGAAAGTATGCTGTATACTGGGGGAGGGGGGGAGGGGGGAAACCAATTGTTTTGATAATGTCATGCTTATTTCCTGTTTCTTGAAAATTATTATTAATAATATTTTAAAAAAAGAAAGGAAGAAAAATGTCATTCTGTATACTGACTCATGTAAGATACAATGTCAAACCACATTTGGTGTTGCGTGAATAAGTCCTATCATTCAGCCGGGAAAGTTGGGTTTGCATTTGTCCTGCAACCTAGGATCAAACCATGTTTTGCAGTCCTGGTTCACAGGGAAAATGTAAACCAAACTTTGCAGAATTGGACGCAACGGAAGGGAAGTGGGGAATTGCAAGTGCAGGTTTTGTAAGCCTGAGATTCACCCCACGCTTGTTTACGTCAGCACCAATGCAGAGTTTGGAATTACGATCGAACCAAAAGAGACCATCTTACAATGATCTTTTGTTATATGCTGCAATGTACAAATCTCGACACCTGTTGATGTCGCAGTATCATTGGCTGAAATTATGCATCTTATCTTTAATTAGATTGCAGGTTCAATTGTCACAAACGCTGTGCACCCAAAGTGCCAAATAATTGCCTTGGGGAAGTGGCCATTAATGGAGGTGAGTTGCATTGAAGGCTGTAGCAATGCATGTTCTAAAAGCCTATTGCATAGAGTGAAGACACTTAGAAGGAGATGAGGGGTTATTTTTAAAGAAAAGTCAAAGGTTGCATTATACACTTGTACACTAAAATATTAATTGAGAATGAGCTGTCAATATGATGCTTTAAAATGTAACAAAGTGAGCATATTTATTAGACTTCCTGAGTTATAAAGAATGGAAAACCAAGGCAGGTTAAGTCTGGAACATGTGAGTCTTCTACTTTATCTACGTATGTAAGTAGTTTCTTCTTTTATAAAGGCAGAGAAGGAGGGGCATATACCTGAATCTCATGTCAGACAATCTAGGAAGAGGAATACAATATTTCTTATATATAAATGTGTGACTGTGTTCTGGACAACTACAAAGAGGGGAGAAGGGGTGACTCTTCCTACCCCCTCCCCTCTCTTTTCCAGTGTCTGGTAACATTGCACCATGACAAAAAAGGTCCCACTGGCCCCTTGAAAATGTAGTTTTATACCTAGAGAAAACTTTAGGAATCCTAATGCTTGCCTCTTCTTTGAGATAAGTATTGCATGTCCCATAAAAGCTCATATCTGAGGCTCAGATAAGCAAGTTTCACCAGCATCTCTAGATAGGCATTTTGCTTGCATACATTTAGATTCATTTAGTGTTCTATCCCCAGTAGAAGTTCCCCAGAACCGATTGTGTACTCTTGCTCTGTGTGTAGGCAGTCCTTTCTGTGAAAGCAAGCTCTCATATGCCACTGTCAGAAAGAGAACCATTTCTCCTTGCCTTGGTGGAGGTTGTTATGCCTGCCAAATCCTTGTCTTAGGGAAGTGCCTCGCAGGAAACGACAGAAGAGTGTTTGTCACCGAGGATTGTCATCCATCCAAGGATTACACAAATGTTTATTAAAAGTTCATTACATAGGTGGGAAGCAAGATTGGTAGAATTATAAATAAGCAAGGATCATTGGGGAAAGACTCAACAATTTCCTCCTGGCACAAAACGTGTATCAACAGATAGAAATGAAACTAGAGAACTGGCCCCATTCCACCAGTGTGATGTTATTTCTGGATAAAGCATAAAAGAAAATGCACTGGCACACTCAGCTGCAATGTTCTAGATTCACTCTTGATGCTTAGAAAAATGCTATTTTTAAGAAAGTTGAGGAGAATTGTTTGAAGCCCATATTCCAGTATTACATACTGGAATTAATACAGCTTTGCATTTTCAAAATTTTCCTCTGTGCTATTTGCTTTGCTTTGTGGGAATTTTTCTAAAGCTTTAGCTGTTAGTTAAAAGAAACTTCTCCATCCTATTCTGAATACACTAGACATTTTTTTATTTTCAGTAGATTTCTCAAAGCTATTTTAGAATTAAAGTCTTGCTTGTTTGCTGGATATGCTCTTTTAGAAGCAGTATTCATATCTACGAGCTTAGTTTCATGCCAGAGTTAACACTGGATCTGTTTTTAAGGTTTTCACAATAACGTGGTCAAAATAATTCCAGATTTGCTTAGCCCGGGTGCTGAGTCTGATGTGGTCATGGAAGAGGGAAGTGATGACAACGACAGTGAAAGAAACAGTGGACTCTTGGATGAAATGGAGGAATCTGTGGGTCATGATGCTGAGATGGCAATAATGAACCAGAATGACAATGGAGAAATGCAGGATGTTGATCCTGACCAGGATGAGAGTAATAGGATGATCAGGTGAGTTTTTGCACAGCACATAGTTGAACTTGTTGCCACTGTTACCTCTGCTAGCTATAACTGTCAATATATCACCCTAGGAGTAAGGTGATAGGTTTCACCTCTTTTGAAACTTACCATGGCACTAAAAATTTAGTGTCCTTCAAATATTAGTGTATAAGAATAGATGTGGAAAAATGCAGATCTAAAAGTCCAACCCACACATTTGCACCCCTGTGTAATGCCCTTGTTGTGCCAGAATAATGCTACAGTTTTTAACCAGAGCCATGTATAAATTTTTATTGTTTATTTAGTATATTTATGTCAGCTGATCTTCCTCCAAAATCCTTCAGAATGGCATACATGGAGTGTGGGAGGAGCTACCTAGTGCTTCATTTGCGTGTCATTTTGGTTGGCCCAGTAAAAGTATTGCTCTGATAGGACTTTTTTCTTATGGAATTTTTCTTATGGGCCAACAGTACTAGCCTTACTCTTTGTTTCTCTTGTTCTGTTTGTTCTCCTGGAGACATAGCCACAGAGAACAACCAATTAACGTATCTCACTTTAGAAAGATTTGTTTTGCATGTTTATTAAAATCTATTGACTGGTGTGTGGTTTCTTTTAAGCCCTTCGACAAGCAACAATATTCCATTAATGAGAGTAGTGCAATCTATTAAACATACAAAAAGGAGAAGCAGCACAGTGATGAAAGAGGGGTGGATGGTTCACTACACAAGCAAAGACACTCTGGTAAGAAAGATGTTAAGCAAAAGAAGTCTCTGAACATCACTGATAAATTGTGACTTCCAAATGATTTTGGTGGTGCTTCCCTCATTCTCCTTGACAGTCAAGGATTACTGCATGTGTACAAAATGCCTTGGGGCCCTCCAAAGACAGACCAAGGCCACAGAACAAAATCTTGAGCAGAGGTATGCCTGAGCAACTTTATTTAAGAGCAAAAGAGTCTTTTAAAGAAAGAAAGTCCGTCATGTATTCTTGCTGTTTCAGACTGCAGAGTGGAAACTTTGAATGTGAACAGTTTGATGTATGTTTTAAGGAAGATTTGCTACCTTTGTCAGGGCTGGATTAGACTTCAAAACAAACAGAAGGGTCAGATTTATCCCTGGCATGCTGTAGAATGTGAAGCACTTTGAAGGAAACCAAATCAAGATGTGGAAAACAGCTTTCATCTGACTATCTTTTTTTGTTGTTGTTGTTAGATAAAAAGGAAACCCATAGCTTTCATAGGGCACATTTAGAATTATAGCCCTGCAGAATGCAATGCAGTGGTGCAATGCTGTAACATGAGGCACTTTGAGATAAGACTTTGGAGGAATGATATTGGCCAGTTTCCTTCATATCTGTTGGACTTGGAGAGTCAGTCCAGTTTTGTGTTATACCTTGGACAAAGCAACTATTTTTGTACGTTAAAATACCTTGGATTATGTTGCTCATGGAAACAGTCTTAAAAGCATATTTTTCAGAACTATGGTCTATTCCCTAATTACATGGGAAACTGCCTTATAATACAGATTTACACAACTGGTCCATCTGGCTCAGTATTGTCCTGACCGTCAGCTATGCTCCTTGGCTTATTGCCATTACATTATTGCCTCAGTTTATGCTGGCACAGGAAGAAGACACATCATGGCAGCAAACACTGGCCATATCTTCCAAGGCCCTGGGGCTGCATGAGAGGGACACAGACAAGAGTGGTGCCTTTACAACTCAAGTAAGGTCAGATGGAGCCCTAAGGTGCTGTCACAGTGCAGGCCAGCTATTATGCATGAAGGAGGAAGGAGCATTTAGACTCCAACAAAGTCCTTTTTTCCCTCTTGATCATTCTATCTAACCTGTGGTGCACAGGCTGATCACCTTTTTAGCAAAATGGGTATAAATGAAAGGAAGACCTATACTGAATAGGCTTGCAGGATCTCACTATTCTATTCTCAGTCAGCTTTGTAAGTATACCAGTGTACAACAGAAGGAGAGAGATTCACACAAATTATCCGGCTTCCAATTAAACACAAACTTCCAATTATGTTTTCTTACCCACAACTTAACTTTAACTCTAGTTGAAACGTAATTGCCCATTTTTTACAACTACAACATAGCATGGGACGCGGGTGGCACTGTGGTCTAAACCACTGAGCCTAGGGCTTGCCGATTGGAAGGTCAGTGGTTCGAATCCCCACGACAGGGTGAGCTCCCGTTGCTCGATCCCTGCTCCTGCCAACCTAGCAGTTTGAAAGCACGTCAAAGTGCAAGTAGATAAATAGGTACCGCTCCGGCTGGAAGATAAACGGCATTTCCGTGCGCTGCTTTGGTTTTGCTGGAAGCAACTTAGTCATGCTGGCCACATGACCTGGAAAAACTGCGGACAAACATCGACTCCCTCGGCCAGTAAAGCGAGATGAGCGCCGCAACCCCAGAGTCGTCTGCGACTGGACTTAACTGTCTGGGGTCCTTTACCTTTTACAACATAGCACAACTTCCATTACTGCCTGGTAAAGACATATCTAGGTGATCTTAACGATCACTCAGGGTAATACCTGTTAGATTCAGTCTGTACATGGTCAATTAATGTAGAATGCTAACTGTTGCTGTAGTAACATTCTGAAACTCTTGTGACAGCACGCTGTATGTAGATATTTCTGGGGGAAGCCAAGTATACATCTCTGATGAAACTTATGTAGAAGAAAATGCAGTCTTCAGGGAACAACAAGGGGGAAAAAAGGTTTTTTAAAATACCTATTACTTTTGCATAAGTTTAAAACAATACCATTGAGTATTTCTCTGTATTGAAAATGAAATTGGTGTCTCTTTGTCATCCTTCACAATCTTCAAGTTGCATTATCTCATTTAATTTTATTTCATTGTTTCTTCAAGTTCTCTTAAATTATTTTTGATTGTTTTTATGTCAACACAGAGGAAACGTCACTACTGGAGATTAGACAGCAAATGTATTACACTGTTTCAAAATGACACTGAAAGCAAATACTACAAGGTAAAATTGGGTTCTGGTTTTATATAGTGTATTCCAGAATGCAGCTATAATTAAAGTTTATGTTGTGTTTGTTAATATTTCAAAGAGATGGATGAGCACCATACACCCACCCACACATGCACATCTGATTGAATTGGAAATCAGCTGAATAGTTTCCCAAAGATACAGACATACCGGGACATAGCTTGACTTGTGCCTAAACCAATCCAAATTCACCAGTGCCACCATGAACCAACAGCTGATGGTGGTGGAGGAGAAGTGTGTACAGAGACACCAGAGAAAGATCTGTGGCTGGTGTCCTTTTTCCATTCTTGGGACTCCCTGGGAAACTTACCAAACCTGCTGTTCCTGGAAAAATGCAGCTGATTTCTGAATAAGACACAGCCCTGAGCAGCCTGAGGAAACTGCATCCATCTTGAGCCTGCTCCTAAAAAAGAAGCCTAGAGTGAGAGACTAGATTGATGTCAGCAGTTTCCAGCAGCCCTCCTCTTTGTCAGATTTTGGGTGGGTGAGCTGTGAGTTTATTTGGGCCCAAGGAGGATGGGTTGCATCCTGGGGGAGAGCCAGGAGGCTGAGAGGGGAGGCATGTTGATATCAGTTTGTATTTATTATAGTTTTCTATTTATGTAACATTTTTATATGTAGTGGTGTATTTTTGTAATATTTTAGTTGCCTCTTGCTTTATTTTCTTGAACACTGCTTAGGGTATATATGTGTGTGTGCTTGTTTGTGTGTGCTTGTGTATGTGTGTAGATAGAGCCATATAGAAATGATCTAAATAAACCACTAACCTCTCCCAGCCAGCCAGCCACTTTTCATCCTAACAGCACATCACATGCACACACACAGACACACACTCACTTTATTTAAAGCTCATTTCCCTGGCTGGTGAAAAGAGCTATACAGTGGTACCTCTGGTTAAGATTCATTCTGGAGGTCCATTCTTCACCTGAAACTGTTCTTAACCTGAGGTACCCCTTTAGCTAATGGGGCCTCCTGCTGCCACTATGCTGCCACCACGCGATTTCTGTTCTCATCCTGAAGCAAAGTTCTTAACATGAGGTACTATTTCTGGGTTAACGGAGTCTGTAACCTGAAGCGTCTGTAACCTGAGGTACCACTGTAGAAAGAGAGAAGAGAGGCTACAGGACTGAAAACCATGGATGGGGGCTCACAGCCCACTAAGCTTCTCCTATGGGTTCTCAATTAGAGTGGACTTTTGTCCTCACCCCATTCCCCTTAGCAGGTTGGGGAGTTACAGCCTTTCAGAGGGGAATTATTTTCCAGAATGGATTTTAAAGCTTTTTCTTTTCTTTCAACGAGCATTATGTGATCCCCAAAGTTGATATTCAGGCCCGACCCAGAGAAATTTCTTAGGCATCTCAAATACTTAGCTACATTGTTAAGCTAATAGTTATTATTTAACTGTGCATCATAGTACAGTCATACCTCGGGTTGAAGTAGCTTCAGGTTGAGCGTTTTCAGGTTACGCTCTGCAGCGACCCGGAAGTAACGGAACGTGTTACTTACAGGTTTCGCCACTCGCACATGCGCATACGCTCAAAATGACGTCACACGCATGTGCGGAAGCGGCGAATCGCGACCTGCAGACCCAGGTTGCATTCGCTTCAGGATGCGCACGGGGCTCCGGAACGGATCCCGTTTGCATCCAGAGGTACCAGTGTAATGTCAAAATGGACTTCCCTGAGTGCAGCTGTTCCAGGCTCTAAGCCTAAACCACCTCTGATTTATTTCATTGGTGTTTATTAAGGGAAATTACAAAAGAGACTCCTTAGCTTCTCTATTCAGCTGTTATCCCAGCAGCCAGGAAATCCATTCTAACATTTGTGCCAGGAATCTGATCAATGCCTAAGTACTAGCAGGATCCACAGGATTTGTGAGGTTTGTGAAAGTGGTAGGAAGAAAAGTGAAGATGGGACAGGACCGCTGTTACTTGCAAACTAAAAATACTGACAAAGTTCACCCACACCAGGCTCAAATACAAAAATTATGGGTTTTAAAACCTGCAGATTCTTGTATGTCTTGGATCAGATTCCAATCCTGCCTTGGACCATGTTCTGAAAATGTTGCAGTTTTGCCCACAAAATCACTCCTTGCCACCTCTACCTCCTGAAACACCTTTCCCTTCTTTTTCCTGTCAAGCAGCCCTGGGGTCAGCAGATTTCCTCCTTTCACTTTCTCCTTCTCTGTCAACATATTGTAATTGTCAGCCCAGGGAACCATCAGAAAAGCATGAATCCCAAAAGCTGGCGATGAGTCTCAGAAACTGTAATCAAGTATGTGTTTGAAGTAGTCTTTGTTCATGAGAAAGTGTTTTCAAAATTAATCGCCATTATCATTTGTCACAGGAAATTCCATTGTCTGAGATTTTATCTCTGGAACCTGCAAAAAACTTCAGTTTAATGCCACAGGAAGCTAACCCCCATTGCTTTGAAATAACCACAGCAAATGTAGTATACTACGTCGGGGAAAATGTGGAAAACCTGCCAAGCCCTCCAGCTAATAACAATGTTCTCACAAGCGGTTGTGGCCTAGATGTTGCAAGGATGTGGGAGATGGCAATCCAGCATGCCCTCATGCCTGTTATTCCCAAAGGGGCATCCACTGGTTCAGGACCAAGTCTACACCGTAAGCTAATTAATTTTCTACTTTAAAATAAGCCACTGGATGAAACCATGTGGACTAGACCCTCTTTGCTGGCAGTATAATTATGTTGTGCAATTTTACTCGGACACTGTGGTGTATACATTATTCTAAGGTAAGCAGCTAGGGACATCAGCCTTTCACTTATGCTGTTATTATCCAGCATGTGGTTTCCAAGGAGGTTTAACACGTACTCTGATGTCTGGATATCATGATGGTTATACAGATTAATTTCGCACAAGATCAGTGTAGGGCTGAATCCCATCCCTCAGTCCCCAGACCTTGAGAGTCAGTGTGGTGTAGTGGTTAAGAGCAGTAGTCTCGTAATCTGGGGAACCGGGTGCGTGTCTCCACTCCTCCACATGCAGCTGCTGGGTGACCTTGAGCTAGTCACACTTCTCTGAAGTCTCTCAGCCTCACTCACCTCACAGAGTGTTCGTTGAGGGGGAGGAAGGGAAAGGAGAATATTAGCCGCTTTGAGACTCCTTAAAGGGAGTGAAAGGCGGGATATCAAATCCAAACTCTTCTTTGCAGGAACTGTGAAAGGCTATTGACATATTGCTGTGGAATCACAGATCAGGCAGTATTACTTCAGAACCAAAAATATTTCCTAATGGATGGTGTGGTTAGGTTCGGGAATGTTATACCTCTGCTATATAACAGCATCAATTTAATAATAACTGTATGTCACATACATCATTATCCAGACGGGGAGGCTCATTCTAGAAGAAAAGGTACCTTCCTCCAACACACCTCATCCCTGAGCCCACCACTGCCATAATACTGTGAGGGTCATGGTATTATGGCAGTGGGGCTTTCCTCTACCACGCTCAAGTGGTGGGTTCATATCATTCTGTGCGTTCACAGCAGAAGTAATTTCCATACATTTTCTTTCTAGGAAATATTTCCATCAGTATCTCGGTGTCAAATTGCCAGGTCCAAGAAAATGTGGTAAGTTTTCTCAGCGTTTGTGACAGATGTGATAGAACTCAGCTTGCAAAGTCATCGATCTGTTTGGAAAACTTTGAGACGATGTGTAATTGGGCATTTTCTTTAGAGAAGGACAAAAAAGTAGCCATTGAAGAAATGATTTTTACACCAGCTTTGATTTTTGGTTTCCAGTTTTTTGAAAAAGGCCAAAATCTTGGGGGTCGATTGATATTCCTCTTTTGTAGCACCACAGTAAAATTGCACCAATGTGTAATCTGAGATTAGAACCATATGAAACGGTTGTATTATATTTTTCACTGAATTCCGGTTGCACAATCACAAGTGGGGAGAGTGCTGTTGTGTTTCACTCCTGTTTCGGGCTTCTGGTTGGCCTCTGTGAGAACAAGATGCTCAACTAGATTGGCCTGATCCAGTGGGCTCTTATGTTAACCACACAAGTCCATTTACTTGGACTTAAGATGAAATCCCACCTTCCTTTTTGGAATTCATTTGATTCAGGGAACCTTCCAAATAACCTAGGGCCTACACTACACTCCATCCTTGGAGAGTTGCTTCTCCCCACCTCACAGACTCATAAACCCAAAGTTTCTTCAGAGTGGGGAAGGAAGTATGCAGAGTTCTTAAATGCTACTGAACATGTCATGGGTATTTGGTAGCCGCTTCACTTCTGTCGATGCCTAGTAACTTTGAATGTACTGCGCATCTGCACAAACATTCAGGGTCCATTTATACACTTCAGGAAGGACCAAAGTCATTGCACATAATTCCAAAATGAAGCCAGACTCCAGATAGGTTCTGATGCGTTGCCTTGCCAGAACACGACTTCTGCCACCGAACTGCATTTTGAATGGAATTCAGCAGCATTTCTGTCCAATCGTTTTCTGAATTGACTTTATTTCCATACTCATCATGTTTAACATGCAACATCTTTGTACTAACAGGATATCAGTACAGTATACCAAATCTTTCCAGATGAGGTGCTGGGATCAGGACAGTTTGGAATTGTTTATGGAGGTAAGACTGGCGTCCCACTGTCATACTCAGAGAAGATTGTCTGAAATCATTGGACAAAGTAGGCTCCAATCCTAATCCCACTAACCTGGGAGTAAGACCCATGGAATATGGTTAGGATGACTACTCAGGTGTGTCTGAAATTCTACACAAGCTCTACAACTTCATTAAAGTTTTCCAGATCATTGCAATTAAAATGGTGCCCGCCCTGTGGAACGCCCTCCCTTCAGATGTGAAGGAAATAAGCAACTATCTTCTCTTTAAAAGACATCTGAAGGCAGCCCTGTTTAGGGAAGTTTTTAATATTTAATGCTGTATTGTTTTTAACACTTGATTGGAAGCCGCCCAGAGTGGCTGGGGAAACTCAGCCAGATGGGCAGGGTATAAATAAATTATTATTATTATTATTATTATTATTATTATTATTATTATTATTATCAGCTTTGCAAGAGGTTGACCAAGGTGGTGGCAAGAGGGCTGCAGAGCCAATCTGGCACTCCTGCCAATGCATTGCCCATGTAAACAGCAGGGCCACGGCTAAGTTCTTCAGTGAGGAACTGGCAACAAGTCTCTGCCAGTTTCAATTCGGTTGCTCATATGCGTGAACGTCCCCAGTCCTATTCTCTTGTTTAGAAGCCATTGTAGGTCAGCTCCCACTGGTTAGGATAGTAGTAGCAGCACTGATGGAAAAGTAATTTTTAACACACTGATAAAATTCCTCAACCTCTGAAAGAAGCAAATACAGCTACAACACAATATTGGTGAATTATATATATGTGTGTGTAATTGTAACATACATTTTAATACAAAATATGTATAATATATAAATAATAAAATAATATTAATTCACCATATAATTACAAGTACTTGGCAATCATTTTTAATGATTTTATGCAATTTTATACACATTTTTCACATTTATTAAAAAAAGAAGACAAGTTTAAAATTATTGGAAATTCCACATCAACGTAAAAAGTGAATATTTTATGTCATCATTTGCCATGTAAAACTAAATTATATTAATTTAACCAGAATATATTTTGAGTTCCCAAGTCATGTCAGCACCCCTCATTTTGGGAATTTGAAAGTTGGAAAATTAAAACACACTATGTACACAGATGGATTTCTGGGAAAGGTGTCCTGTATTCTTCCAGACCAGGGGCCAGCAAACTTTTTCAGCAGGGGGCCGGTCCAATATCGCTCAGATCTTGTGGGGGGCCAGACTATATTTTTTGGAGGGGAAATGAACGAATTCCTATGCCCCACAAATAACCAAGTGGTGCATTTTAAATAAAATGACACATTCTATTCATGTAAAAACACCAGACAGGCCCCACAAATAACCCAGAGATGCATTTTAAATAAAAGGACACATTCTACTCATGTAAAAACACGCTGATTCCTGGATCGTCCGCGGGCCGGATTGAGAAGGTGATTGCGTCAGATCTGGCCACCGGGCCTTAGGTTGCCTACCCATGTTCCAGACCTTTCCCTCCTATGACATGATGGGAGTCCTGTGGACACAGGGTTCTTTGTACTATAAACAATGCCTATTTATTTAGTGGTGCTGGATTACATACCAAATTTATGGGCCAAACTAGATGTGAATGTCACACAACCTTGCACATTCCTTTTTATTAAAAGCAGGACTGAGGATCCATACTAATGCAGAAGACTAGGGTGGGGTAGGGGAGGGATAATGGGCTTTTCACCCTTTCCGCTTGCACATTTTTCTTCTTCTAAAATTGACCTCCCTGATTTTTACCTATAAGAGGAAATATACTGGTCCTTTTTTGCCTCGAAATCTGTCTTAACAATTTCATGAAATTAAAGAAAGACGTCTGAATGGTTTAGAGCATTCTTGTCTCAGAGGATACCTTGACAGTTAGGTTTTGTATAAAACACACAAAAAATACTTGAGTTCTGGAAAGGTGACGCTTCTCAGAGCTGATCATGTTAATTGGCATATTTTTCATCAAACAGGAAAACATCGCAAAACAGGAAGAGATGTAGCAATTAAAATCATTGACAAACTGAGATTTCCAACTAAGCAAGAAAGCCAACTTCGTAATGAGGTTGCAATTTTACAGGTATCTTTTATTTAATTACCAATTATATCCTGTATGTATTTAATTTAGAGCAGGGCAATAAAACTCTTTGAGAACAGGTTTCGGCAGTAGGAATCTATATACCTCATTAAGCATTGGAACTACAGATAAAGTTTTCAAGTGATGTCTCTTTCTGAAATAATGTGTAATCTGCATTAAATATAGGAACTTTGCACCAAAAATTTCAGCAGTTTGCTAATCTGCATAGTCAGAATTAAATTTGCTTTTGAGATAATCTAGCACAATTACCCAGTGGCTGTTACCAGATCCTGTTGTCTGTCTCTGCACATGTGGTAACAAAAATAAAGCATTGTCAGCCCAATTTCTTCTGCTATGAGTTGAATTAGGGCTGCATTCCTAAGTTTTGCTTCATATACCGTAAGCCTACAATTTACGCACATTTAACTTGTGTGCATTCAGGGTTACACACGTGGCAAAAATCTTTTTAGAAATTGAAATTGGGTGGAAAGTGGGTGAGATTCTGGGGGAAATGACTTTGGCATCCCACCCACCATTGAACCCATTGTATTTTGACTATACACGATTTTACCTTTAGGCTCTTTCCCTGGAACATAACCCCCACATAAGTTGCGGACTTACTGTATACTATAGGGAACTCATTCTCTGAGCGCCAATCCATATATAACACGAGGGGGGGATATCAGCAGGTTGCTTCCAAACAAAAACCTAATGGAGAAACCTCCCAAAATCACTTAACAAGGACTGAGCACACTTGGTGGGCATGGACTGTTGATGATTCAAAGTTGATGCAAGGTTGCTATGCAAGGTATGGGATTGCTTTTAAGATCCAAGAGCAGAAAACTGGAAGCAACCTGAGGATAACATGGCTCCATTCTGATACTCTGAAAGAAATCAATTTGAACAAGGTCTCATTTCCATATAGAAGTTTAAAACGTTATCAATGACAAAGCATATTTTTGACAGTTTCTAAGCACATTTTGGGCTGTCCTGTTAAGCTTTGCATAGCAAATCATTGGTGGCATAATTCTGGCTGTTTATACTTTTATGCTGGTGCCAAAGGGCTTGAAAAACGAATGGGTATGTCATTACCTAATGTTTCCTGAGCCTTGTCATTGGACCTAAACAAATCGGGCTCATTCAAATAGTGTTTTTCTTTGATCATAGAATCTGCATCACCTGGGGGTTGTCAATTTGGAATGCATGTTCGAGACACCAGAAAGAGTGTTTGTTGTTATGGAGAAGCTCCATGGAGACATGCTGGAGATGATCTTGTCAAGTGAAAAAGGGAGGTTGCCAGAGCGAATCACCAAGTTTTTAATTACGCAGGTAAGAGTCCATTAAGCAGTGTCAAATGTTTTCTTTTTCTATGATATTCACGTCATAGCTCAGACCCTTCTGGGGCCTTCCAACACTACAGATCTATGATTTTATACCCTTGAAATGGATAGCAGGTCACAATGTGGGTGAAGGTTTAAAGAGTGAGAGCTGTCCAGAGTGGGTAAAGTCTAATTAGGGTAACTTCCTTTTGCATTGCTAGTATGGCTTTATCAAGTTAACTGGGTGCTGTGCCTTTCTCTGTATCTTCTCTCTGATAAAGACTAGCTGTCACGTGCTTGACTGTATTGTTCTGAGCTTAATGTACGATGGTAACTACAAATCATGACCTACAGTGCATCTCTCAGGTGTGGTACTTGGAAGTCTACGCCAAATCCTTCTTGCATGTTGGGGCTAGCATGTAGCCTGCATGTCTCTGATGGACCCATCTCCTCTCCATCTCTGACACAGGCAGGGGTGCTTAACCAAGTTAGCCAGCAAAGCATCTGGGAGACCATTCCTATGGGTTCAAAGAAGCTGTGCTAGTGCTCAGAACTTGGGTGCCCAATAAGTGCCAGATATGACTGATGGCTACATTGCCTCAGTTTGTTCTTTATAATCCATAAATATTCTCACCTGGTTTGCAGCTATATGCAAGCTAATATGGTTTGGTGTGCAATACATATATATATATATATATATGGAATTCAGCCCCTAGTTCTGATTTAGATAGTGGCAAAGACCTCTTAGAATTAAGCTTATAGCTCACATAGGCAGCATTCTCTCCTCCCCCAACCACGGGATGACTCTGAGGGGTTGTGAATTTTTTTCCCACTCCCCCATTTTCCATTGAACCTTTGCTCCCATTATAATAGATAGTAGGGTAAAGGTAAAGGGACCCCTGACCATTAGGTCCAGTCATGACCGACTCTGGGGTTGCGGCGCTCATCTCGCTTTATTGGCCAAGGGAGCCGGCGTACAGCTTCCGGGTCATGTGGCCAGCATGACTAAGCCGCTTCTGGCAAACCAGAGCAGCGCACAGAAATGCCGTTTACATTCCCGCCGGAGCGATACCTATTTATCTACTTGCACTTTTTGGGGTGCTTTCGAACTGCTAGGTTGGCAGGAGCAGGGACCGAGCAACGGGAGCTCACCCCGTCGCAGGGATTCGAACTGCTGACCTTCTGATCGGCAAGCCCTAGGCTCTGTGGTTTAACCCACAGCGCCACCCGCGTCCCTATAATAGATAGTACCAGCCTTTAAATTAAGTTGTCTGTACCCCAACTGCTGATCACTAAAGCTGGAGTACTTCCCCTAACGAATAAGAGCACAGCTGTACGCGCTGCTAAAAGAATGCTTTGTAATAATAGTAGGAAGTATTGCTACTTGAGGATGCCTTTAAAATTAAGTCCCTTGTGCTTTATATTCCTGTTTGTTTACACAGCTTGGAATAAGAGCATAAAATCGCATGAATTAAGCTGTTGTGCTTGAGCTTGCTTGCGCTTGCTACTTTTCATCTCGTCTCTGGGAAAAACATTGAAACAGAAGTAAATATTGAGCAAACTATGTTACAACAGGGCTGGTTTGTTTCTTTATAGATCCTGGTTGCTTTGAGACATCTTCATTTTAAAAACATTGTTCATTGTGATCTCAAACCTGAAAATGTATTGCTGGCATCTGCTGATCCTTTCCCACAGGCAAGTAGAAATAAATTCACATTGTACAGGTAACATACAGTTCCTTTAGATAAAGCCAAATGATTGTTGAATGCCACACCATGGTAAGAGACTCCAGGGGTCCAGCTATTTACCTGGGGTTTGGTTCCCTTGGAATGAGGGACAGCAGAGACAGTCGTGTCTTTAGGAAATATGGTTTATTTACACATGTGTACAAGCTGAGCCTACAATGGAGGGACTCACAGCGTTAACACCCCAAAAGAATCTTGCTTCTCCCACAGCCATAGCCTTGGATTCCAGCCAAAAGCAGGCATGGCTCTGTCTCTCAGCTGCCCATCCGGCTCTAGCTTCTAGCTCACACCCCTCAACTCTGGATTTTTCTTTCTAATTATCAGACAGTTGAGGGAGGGGGGCCACCCATTGTTGTCTGGCACAGAGCCATTTCCTTTGTTACCTTAGCAACCCATGCTTAGGGACCATTTCCAAGAAACTCGTCTGGCTATTGCAGCAGTTGGATCCTTGTTGGAACCAAGAAAGGGACTCGGGCAATACAGCCTACCTACCCCCTCAAACTCACAACATTCTTATTACTATGAGATTTGTGCTTTGTTCTTTTTCGGTTTGATAAATAGTTGAAATGGCTTGATTTAGTCAAGCACTCACCTAATGCCTAACAAGTCCCTTTTACCTCTGCATATGCAAATTAATGAATCCACCCTGCAGTCTTAGCTGTCTATACACAGACCAGACCACATGAAGATACCACTTGCTTCCACTTGGTACACTGGTACACAAATCTGCTGTAGTCAAGAGGAAAGTAGGAAACAGGTGTGTCCTTATTTTCAGCAGCCTCCCTAAGTCTCTAATCTCTCCCAATTGGTTGTTTTTTAAAATGTGAAAAGAGTAGCAGAGATATCTCCCCCACCCCTCTCTCACACACACTATATCTGCAAGTGCCAAGAAGTTTTTGGGTGCACCCAGATGTGCGTAATTTCAACAATGAACCTGCTGTGGAAGTGCATTTGCCCAAATAAGATAAAATAAGTTCTTACTGTGTATAGCCAAACCCTGCTATCACAGTTGCAAATGGCTGGCTTCCTTTGACATAATGATGTGTTCACTTCCTTCTCCCTCTCTGGAGCAGTTTTTCAAGTTGGGGGAAAAAAATAAAATTGAAGGCCGTTTTTGTTTTTAAAGTCAAGGAACAAACATACAAGTAATCGGAGGTATTATCCTGTGCTTTCTAACACTGTACAAGACAGGCAGTTTGCATGAAGCACAGAGGAAGGGGGAAGACAATCAACTGCACATCGTTGCATCTGTCATTGATATTTCAAATGCAGCAGGAAGCTGGGCTCATCTTGCTGGGGAAACATGATATAACTCTTGGGTTTGTGGACATTTAGTACACCTACGTGAATCTCCATTTACTAGGGGTGTGCAGTGGGTTTGTGTCAGAGCCAGATAACAAAGCTAATGAGGGTGATTTTGAGGTCTCTCCCCCTCTACCAGTTTGAAAGATGGTGTCAGTAACACTGCCACTGTGTGATATAAGGGCTCTCACGAAGCCCTGTGTTCCTCTGTCACTCTGTTTCTGTACTTCACTATATCTTGTTCCTTTATGTTTTCCTGTAAGTTTCTCTTGGTCTATGTGCTTTGCAAGTATTGAGGCTGTCCAAAGTATTGCCTGTGGATCACTGAAGAGCTCAAAGTTGTTTTTTCTTAAAGTACAGCAGTGGGGGGATTTATTTATTTTTAAGTTAAAAGCTTCATCCTCTAATTGTTTAAAGTAAGTAAGAAAGAGAAAGCCTCTCAAAAATGTGAAACTACTATGAATTATGGAGGAAAGTCAATCCCTTTCATTTCCCCCCATAAAAAGCCCCTGAACCTATTTGTCTACATTTTGGGGGGTGTTCCCGTGCTTGTAAATGTAATCCAGTTGGCTCAAAGTGGTGAAAAGTTATAGCTGCTTTTAGTTTTGGAATGAAGAACGCAGCTTCAGTTTACACAAAGCGACACAGAACCCAAAACGTAAACTGAAACTGAAGGAGCACAGGGCGGCTTAGAAAGAGATTGGATTTTTATTTTTATTTTTTTTAAATGCAGTTACAAGGTGAATGTTGAGGCCCATACATTGGCTAACACGCTTCCCTTACCCCCTTCTCTATTGTATCCCCAAACTGTAGGGACTGGTTCTGTCCTTTTTGAATACACTGCAAGGCACTATGGACTACGTATGGTTTTACTTTATATAACGATAGGCCTTTTGGAAAGACTGTTGTCTGCTTGAAACATTCTTTGCTCAGTTATGTGGGGGAGAAACAGCTTTAGCACATGGTAAATTGACTTATAGATAGCACTTATAGATAGCACCATGTTGACTTGCACATTGTTTCTTTGAAAACATTGGAATAAAACAAAAAAATACAAATTTATTATAATGGCTTTATACCAAACAGGTGAAACTTTGCGACTTTGGTTTTGCACGGATCATTGGAGAGAAATCATTCAGACGTTCAGTTGTGGGTACGCCAGCCTATCTCGCTCCTGAAGTCCTGAGAAACAAAGGGTACAATAGATCATTAGATATGTGGTCTGTGGGGGTTATTATCTATGTCAGCCTTAGTGGCACGTTTCCATTCAATGAAGATGAGGACATTCATGATCAAATCCAGAATGCTGCTTTTATGTACCCACCGAACCCCTGGAAGGAAATCTCACATGAAGGTATTTTTTTTTTTTAATTCTAGTACATACATATTTGAGAAGAATCAAAATATTTACTTATTTTTTATAGAAAATATAGATTTCATCTTTTCACACTAGCTTCCCAAAGCAGCTAACCACCATTTTAAAAATGATCAGAAATACAATAAAAATATTCAATTAATTCCTCCTCAAGGTAGACCAGTTGAAAGAAAAGAACCTTAGTGAATCATGTCCATTAACTTCAAGGGGTCGGGTCTGAGTAAGACATTCTGAATATGACTAAAACTGAATACCACCCAATAAAATCACTTTCTAAAACTCATTTGCTCATTTCTTTACTGTGTCTATATAGATGCTCAATAACAGGAGTTCTCTGGGTAGCTCTTAAAGCAATCAATCAATCAATCAATCAATCAATACCAATAAAATACATTGTGAAACAAGAAAAACCATGAAAATTAGAAAAGTGAAACCAAAAATTAATCTGAGAGGCCCAAACCGTTAAACATAGATTGTTTAAAAGGTCTGAGTGAAAAGGTGAAGGAACTTGCTCGACTGTTTCATAATCAGGGTCCAGTTACTTAAATGGCCCTGTCCCTTACCCACCTTACTTTATATATGATCGAGCACTTAGAGAAGGGCCTCTGAGAAATATTGTAAGGGTCAAGTATGTACAATTGCAAAAGTGTGTGTGTGTGTGTGTGTGTGTGTATGCGTGTGCGCGTGTATTTACACCCAGCCGGGTGTAAGCTAAAAGCTAGAGAATATTGCAGCAGAGGAACAAAACAGAAGGGAAGGTCTCTGCAGTTTGACTCAGCCTCTCTGAGAAGAGAGTTCCTGAGCATGAATGCAGCCGCTAAAAAGAACGCTCCCATGTCCCTTCCAGTCATATTATATTGGCAAGGAGAACCTCTCCTAGAGATCTTAATACACAGACAGGTTCATAATGGATAAGACAGTCTTTCAGGTAACCAGGTCCAAAGTTATCTAGGGCTTTTGAAGTAATAATGCATTATTCTTGGAGAGAAAGCTTTCGAAAATTGGAATGGAGATCTATTCACTTTATTGCTGCCTTGCATTTCCTCGCAATATCTTCAGTTTCATCTCTCCAAATGCATGGTAATATTATTTGTTATAAGGCAGAGAACAAAATGTATGATTGCTAGGCTACACTGACTAATGTTTTAACTCAGTACAAATCTGTTTACTATTTTCAGTGATGGACGCTTGATTAGCAAGTTTGGGTGTTGTGAACATTATAGTTGTGTGAGGTAGTAACTTGGGAAAAAGTTGTTTTCATTTATTTATTTAAAAAATCAAGCTAAATCAACCTGCATGGCTGTCATAAACAGATTTATTAGTTCTGTCTCGCAATTTATTACTTCTGTCACTGCCTCTGAACCGTATGCGATTTCAAGAGGTATTTGAGAGTGATGTCTTCTGAAATTATGTTTTTTCTCCAGCTATTGATCTCATAAATAATTTGCTGCAAGTGAAAATGAGAAAGCGCTATAGTGTGGACAAGACGTTAAGCCACCCATGGCTACAGGTAATGCTGTAAATTTCATGCCTTTCACCTTGTTTGTAGTGAAGATAGACCAAACACAGACAAAAAGTTTACCACAGCCACTCCAAAACTTCAGCATCGATGAACCTCGATGAAGGCTAAATATTACTGTCCCATCTGGAGACTGTGGGAAAGTGTGCCCACTTTGCTAGGCGGGGCCCTGGGAGCCAGACTGTAACATTAGAATGTTTTCCCTCCACAGGCATTTTGCATACAGTAGGGATCTGGAGCCTATAGCCCTCTACATGCTGACTGACTACAACTCCCATCATCCCTGGCCACGTTTCCTATCATTAGTATACAGCATCTTTATGCTGGCCAGGGTCATAGCTCAATGGTTGACCACATGCTCAGTCATCAGAGTTTTCCTCTGCTAATCTTGAAGCATAAGGAGTGTGTGTGGAGGAAACAGTTGGCTAAGTTTGCCCTGGTCACCCAGATAAATACTATTTTAAACATTCCTGTTGTTGCTTGGTGCTGCTCTTGCTTTTTGTTTCCGCGCTGTTGAGTTATTTTTGTCTATATTGATTTATTGTCGTTTCATTGTCTTGAAGGCAGAAAGGTGTGGTGAACATACTTTTGATAAATTATACATGCAAAATTTCGAGGAAAAGACCCCATGAACCTTTGGGCCTGGTTCTGGAACCTAGCTTTTCAGAAATACTTTCTAGTGAACCTAGACACGTTGATGTGTTCTCATATCCAACGGTTTCACAAAAGATGCTATGAAAGTAACATGTGCTGCGTCGCTTAAATGTTAACAGAATTATGGGGAAACAGGCATCCATAGTATTATCTGTAAGACTGCTTTTCAGATATTAATTTAAGCATATTGTTTTTCTCCCTACAGGATTACCAAACCTGGCTAGACTTGCGTGAGCTCGAATCTAAAATAGGCGAGCGTTATATCACCCATGAGAGTGATGATTCGCGGTGGGAACAGTATGCCGGAGAAAATGGCTTGCAGTATCCAACACACCTTATCAGCCCAAGTGCTAACCACAATGAAAACCCTGAGCCAGAAGAAGCAGAGATGAAAGCCCTCAGTGAGCGTGTCAGCATCCTTTAAATTGCAGCCCTTGTAATCTGTCAAAACACTGTGGAACTAATAAATACATACGGTCATGTTTAACATTTGCTTTGCAGAACTGCCATTATTTTCTGTCAGATGGGAACAAAGCTGTTACTCTGTTACCACCATTGATGTATGGGAGTTGCCAAGACAAATCAACAGAAGCATTCGCCCCCCCTCTCCCATTTTGTGTGAGCAACTGTGTTATATTAACAAAAAGTTCCCAGAAACACTCAACCTGTTGTTGTGGATGATTCCTGTTGTACTCGGAGCATTCAAACCTGTTTCCACTGTGCCTTCTCAGACAAGTGTTTCCTCTTACTCATAACTTTGTTGGGTACCATGAAGCATTTCCAGGTGGATCTCTGGTTTTGTGTGCATCATGAAATTAGTATTGTACTTGTTTGCAAACTCTTGAAGAGTAGATTACTACTGCTGTTCTGTGAACAACTTTTAACGTTTTCGATGGGGTTGGGGATTTCTGTTTCTGTTCTTTTGTTTGTTTTGTTTTTTTGCTTTTTGCTGTGGAACAATATGTTGAGATACTGATGCAAGGAAGCATTTTTTAAAAATAAATAAATGTAAAAGCAGCACACAGCATTGTAAATTTGCAGATGAGATGCCCTAGCATTTTGGACATTTATATGGATGCCCCCAACCAGTCATGGTGCAACCTCTCTTTAAGCCTAAATGCCTTAGTAATGTAAATTGCAGCCCCTGCTTGTTCTTATAACATGCTGCTGTAACATATACATTTAGAAGCTGGACAATATGTTGCCTTTGTGTATGTTTTGAATAAAATTCTGCTGAAAAATACTTTTTTTTAAAAAAAATATTAAATTACTTTACCAGTCCAAAGACTTGTCAAGCTTGAGGTTCTGTCAAATAAGAATAAGTAATCCTTTTCCAAGCATTATGTTACTGTGATTGTAAAGGTGTTTCACTCCCCAAAAATAGTTATTCGTTTATTTCCTTAATTTTATATTCTACCTTTCTTCCAAGGAGCTCAAGGCAGCATATTTATTTATTTTATTTCACAAAATTTATATAACACATGATTGTAATGAAACCTCTAAGTGGTTTCCAAAACCAACACATTATGCATAAAAAACAACAGTTAGAATTAAAATCGTTTGAAAGATAATTAAAATCGACAGTAAGCAAAAGAGATTATAATACATTTCCGAGTAGGCTTGCTGAAACAAAAATGTTTTAAGCAGGTGCCAAAAGGGCAATGCAGGAATCTCAACCCGTGGTCCCTATTGCAAGTGTGCTAGCAGTTTTATTGCTGCACCACATGCCATTGTTGAATCCATTGAAATGTTCACTATATAGCTCTGAAACTTCAGTGGAATGAAGAAGAAAAGTACAATAAGAAGAGGCCTGCTGGATGAGACCAAAAGTCCAGCATTCTGTTCCAACAAGATGCTTGAGGAGGCCCACAATCAGAACGTGAAGACAGCCACCCTCTATTTATAGCCATTTAAAGACATAGCTACCCTCATCCTAGGGTAGTGTACATACAGAAATTGAGGTCTGGGTTTACCTGGCACTTCATGCTTATCCTATAATGTTGTGCACAGGTGTAGTGAGGGCTGTCTCTTTCCTTACCCCTATCAACAGGTGATAGTGATGGTGACTGAAATATGAAAAGCAGCCAGAGAATCCTTGCAGAGACTTAATAGGGAAGCAGAGAAAGGTAATATGAACAGAGTTGCTGTGAACATACAGGTGATTAGGAGAAGGATCAGATGAAAACTAGCAAGGAGGAAGTTGCTGGAGTCTAAATGACAGGTGTGCCTTATACAGCAAAGGTTTTAAAAGGGTAGACACAGTTATGGGTGGCTTGTCATGACAACCAGCTGTATGTCAGGGACACAAGAGGAGAGTATTGAATGTGATGTGCAAAATTACATGTGATGCTCTGGAAGAGAGGGAGTTAATGTTTGGCTTAGACGTGCTGGAAGGAGCAGGGTTGGGATGAAAAACCTATGTCTCCAATTTGCTGATGGATGAGATATCCAGGAAATGCTGGCAAAACAGAGAGATGGGCCTGGATAAGGGTAAGTGGTCAGGAATGGAAAAGAAATATGAGTCCTCAGCATAGCGGTACCTAAAACTATGAACATAAGTGAGTACATTAAGTTATAGAATGTCAAACCAATATGCTGAAGGCAATTTCACCCACAATAGTTTTAGGTGTCTTATCTAAAAGGTGGTATTCAAATAAGTTTTACTCAAGAGTAGATCCACTGATATAAATTGCTGTGACTTAAGTCAGAGCCATTGATTTCAGTGCGGCTACCCTCAGTAAAACTTAGTTGATTCCCACTTGGTAAGTTTTAAGCTTACACCTAAAATGTGTTGACTGCAACAAATAGGTTTTTTTGCTTGCAAATACCTGCGTCAAACTTACATGGCAAGGAGCCAGGATTGGCTTCAGCTGACTGTATACTCAGTTGTATACCTGGGTTTGTCTCAGCTTAATGTGTGAACTTACAGAGACCAATAACAGTCATTTTTAGCAACTACATTTTTGAGAAGAAATTCATCTCTTTTTAAATTAATTTGCTTTCAGGTTTGAAAATCTGCATGTAAAGGGAAGAAGAGTCAGTGGCAGATGGCCATTGACAAATGGAATATTTACAAAGAAGTGTTAGGTGTAACCAAAAGGAAATGCAACCAGTACATAGGAATAAAATTGAATTTTCATGAAGTCACCCAGTAATGCTCAAGTACTTTGCACATCAGTGAAACAATTTATTTTACATTAGTAATCCTTAGGAGCAATCATGTTGTGATTCATATGTATGCCTTTTGAGAGAGTCCTTGATGGATTGTGTACAATTGATGGTGTGCCTATGAATGCATATTGTGACAGTGGTCAATATAGATGATTCTTCCAGACAGGACTCACCTAACTGGCCCTGTCAGTGAAAAGCCCAAACGATGGCTTCCACTTGCACAATGGAGCTTCCACCCCCACCCTACATGCCCCCTAAAATTGACTTGGGGGGTTGGGAGAAATCTCATGACGGCACATGGTGGAAAGAGATGGGAGATCATTCCATCTAGCAAGCTACAATGTTTGTGCAGATGGAATGAGTGGAAGATGTTGAATTCCACCTCCATACAATGCCAATGTAGATTGATGAGCACCTAGTGGAAAGCGGCAACCTTGTTTAGTTTGACTCATTCAAAAATAGGTTAAAATGCATAGGCCTGGATCCTAAATTAACTGAAGAAAGTATATGAAATGAAAGTTACACGTTCCTCACCCCTGCTGCCACTTGTACCACCCTAGAAAGCCATCCTTAAAAATGGGGGCAGCTGCTGGATGACCCCCTACGATTCTATGAATTTCAGTTCGGGCTTAGGTCCTAAGATAAGGAAGATAATGGATTCCCCCCCCCCCCGCAGACACATCACAAAGTGGGTGGTCCAGTGGTTGGAGTGTTGGATTAGGACCGGGGAGAGCAGGATTCAAAACCTCGCTTGGCCAGTCAGCTCATGGGGTGATCATTGGGCCAATCATTGCCTCTCGGCCTAGCATACCTCATAGGGTTGTTGTTGGGATTAAATGAAGAGGAGAACTTCGTGTGCCATCTTGAGTTCCTTGGAGCAAAAGCTAGGATATCAATGTGGCAAACAAATGAATAAGTTGGTTTTTTTATGCTTTATCCTACATTGTTCAGGAGCCACCCAATATCCTCCACAAAATGAATTGTCTGCAGACCAACCCTGGCAATTGTCCATGTTGGGCTGGCACACCCATGACATGATTCCTCCAACTCAAGAGTTTTGCTTCACAAAAATGACCAAAAAGGTGGGGAAGGCTATAAGAAGAGCCACTGCTCGAAATCACTGCTCTTTCACTTCTGTGTGGTTATCTCCAAAGCACCTGCAAGGTAGCTTGATTTTACATCGCACAAAGGAGTTGGGCAAAGTCGGGTCAAGTGAATGCTTCATAGACGATATCTTTGCAAATATTTTCAAAACAAAGAGGCTATTCTTTACAGTTTCTAAATGATGTGGCAGATAAAGAAAGCATACACAGCCACGTGAGAACCAACTTCTTTCTCCGCTGCAGCACAAATTGTCTCATTAACTGTTATTGTATTTGTTTTCATTTAAAAAACGCTTTAACCATTGAACACCAACTGAATCATTCTTCCCCTTATAATGGTCTGCAGGGGGATTTGTTTTTGAAAACTTGTCAAGATTGGAGGCTCATGCAAGGAAACAACACAACTGTGGCTTTTGTATGGCTAATTTTGCACAATTATTATAATTAAGTTAAATTTGCTCTGACGTGAATGGGATACATAAAATCTGCAAAGTATGTTAACTTTTATTGTGTTCTGAAACTTACAAAACCTGTTTATTGTTGGGAGTTATACCTAGAGATTAAAACCAATACAAAGGAGGCTGCAAATTAGTATAATCTTTCAAAAGGAGGCAATTTGAATGAGTTGTTTGCTTTCCAACTCAAACTGGATCACATTTCTGAGGCCTGCTTTGAATTACTCTCATGGAAGTGCAAGGGGAATGAGCTCTGGCGAGGGGAAAGGAAGAAAGGAGAAGTCTGTGCCAAAATGTAATGTGTTTGTTTTTATATATTTGAATTTATATACCCTGCCTCTTCTTGGGGACATAAGGAGGCAAGGTAAAACCAAATAACCTACAAATAAAGCTAGAAACTCAAGATTTGGGTGGCTAGTTCAAATGTAAACTTCTGGCTTTAAGAATTTAGGAAGCTGCCTTAAACTGGACAAGACCGTTGGTCTGTCTATCTCAGCACTGTCTACACCAACTGGCAGTAGTTCTTCAGGGTATCAGATGGGGTTTTATATTTCCAGCTCTAGCTGAAAATGCCATAAATTGAACCTGCAACAACAGATGCTCTGTTTCTGAGCTCTGGCCCTTCCCACTATTAGTCTTCCCCCTGAAACTTTAAGGGGGTTAAAGACCAACCAATGTTTGATGTCCTAAGCTTGCTCTTTGCTCCTTGTTTGATCATTTCCCAGGCACCAAGTCTTCCTATATTCTCAAGGCTTCCCCTGCCGTATCCCATCACCTTTCCTCCAGCTCCATTTCCTGACAGTTGGCCTCCCGCCCTCCCTGTCTAGCACCACATCTTCTGTCTTGTCCTGACTGACTGCACTCTGTAGCTCTTCTTTTTCATGGGCTTGGGCAAAATGACCTTTCATTTCCCTCATGGAGCCGACATTGAAAGAGTGTGTGTGCAAGCCCCTGATGCTGTAATAATCCTATACTCACTGGACACACGAATCTCACTGTAATCAGTGGGAGGATTCCAACATAGTGATCCATCAGCAGAAGGATTTCTGGTTGCCTGGTTGAACTATCTGCCCTCCTCTCTCCCTGCACCCTGTTCCAGGGTTTCCCCCATGCCCCCACAAGCCAATTTGGTCTGCAGGAGGAAGAGAGGGGTGAAGCCTGCAGAAGTCCTCATTAACTGAATCCTGCCCAGTAAGACTTGCTTCTTAGTTGACGTGCTCTTACAAAGTGTGCAGACTGCATTATCGAAGATATAAACAATATTACAATCTCACTCTTCAGCCAAATTCATTGCTGCAGAAATGCAGCATAGAAGCTCATGTCACAAGGAAGGACTATAAGATCGCCTGTCTGAAATCCTGAAGAGCTCCAGCTCATCGTTGTAGACAATATTGAGTTAGATGTGTCAGTTGTTTGACTCTACTCACAACAGCTTTCTACAGTCCTTTGCTTTTACTACACTGTTCCCAATGTTTTGTAGGAGTAACCATGTTTTAGCATGATAGAAGGCTGAACATCTGGGAGCAGATGATGGACATCCTATAGAAAATTGT